CCGTAGTGGAAGTTAAACTGACCATCTTGCGATAGCAGGCTTTTCTAGTAAGCATTTCAAGTCGCATTACGTATTGCTTTGTGTTATCGCTTTGGTGGCGTTCAGAAGAAAAGAGCTTGCAGAAAAAAGAAATGGATATGAAGTTGAAATATGACGGTCAATCAGTTGCCCTTCTTCCAGCAGGCCAAATCCGCGGGCAGCAGCGGTGTGAGTGCAGGTTCAGTTTTTCATCTCGTAAGTTACTTTCTCGTTTGAATGAAAAGCGTGAGATTAAATGCAATTCATCGAACAGCTTTCTTAGTAAACTCTTATTTCGTTGCCCTGGGCAAACGGAAAATGATGAACATTTGACGAGCTGCCGGACTGAATAAAATTTTCAGGTTTATGCTACTTCATGGATAATTGGACCATGCTGCGCTTTTGCTTTCCAAAGAATACCTCCTTCATCTTCACTATTTTACAAGTTGTTTTCATAAATAACCATTTTTGAATATATAACAATCTCCACAGCTTACAGGGAAGCAAAACCGCCACTTTATTTTAGCAACACAAAATCTAAACATGTAGTTCAACGAAATGCCTCACTAAACTCACTGTCAAAACTTACTTGATGTTTCGTTAAAGCCCAAAATACAACAAAAGGATAGTATTGATGATTATTATTACTTTATTGTAAAGAATTATCGTTCTATAATACGGCTAACTCACTGAAATCACTTTAGGTCTTATCCTGTTGGCCCCAATTTTCTGAGGACCTTGAGTCGGCCGGTAAGCCTCATGAACGCTCTTCGATTGAAAAAGGTTAATTTTCAACTGACATCAATATTGTAAATTTACCCCCATTAAAGGTAGGATAGGTAACAGGAGTTTAAACTTCAGAGACGACTGAAACACTCAGGGATCGTTTTGAAAGCTAGTGGATTACTCAAACTTAAATATCATACTACATAGGTCGGCTTTGTTTGGTTAAATAGTACGAAGGCTCTTCGCCAAACTGAGCGATGCGAAAAACTGAGTGAACGCGACTAACAAAAGGGAACACAATAGATGCAAATTTAAAGAGATTGGTCAAGGAGCTGAAGATTTGATTCGCCAAAACACCTAAAACATAAAATTAACGTAGTTATAAAGGTTTAACCAACTTTTTCTAAGTAAGGAAACACTGAAGTTAAACCGAATTAAAAGACTCATTCGTTTGACTCAGTCCGATTTCGCTGCGTTAGGGAATTTCCTTTTCTATCCATGCAAAAACAGAAGCTTCTTAAGCAACGAATACATCCTTAGGAAATTTGGAGGTGGAGAGTAACGATGTCATTGTCACCGTTCTCCGCTCAATTTCAAGCCCGGGACAGCGGGCCTTCATGTCCATTGAACCGGCCGTTTCAACAGCATATCGAAAACAGAATGATGTTAACATCTGCATGTTGCAAAGAAGCGTGGCATTTTGTTCGACGCAGTTGTAGCATAAATCTGGAAAATTTTAAACACGACAAGAATGGTTGTCGAAAGACATCAGTGGTAACAAAATTTCCGCCTGCCAAGGCCGAAGGCCACCAAAATCCGATGTTCTATCACCTCGGTTACTTCGACTGTTTCAAGGCCAATTTGTTTCGGCGGTTTGTTAAATTCTATAGCTACATGCAATTCTGAATACACTGAATAATTGTGCAAGTTACAGATGTTCATAACTTCTAAGACGCTTTGTACAATATCCAGACGTGAAAGTATAAAAAAGCGGTTGGAAAAAAAAAAGTGATACAGAATCTTCACATTTTTCGGTACTTAAACACTTTCGAGTCAACTTCGTGCGTAGTTGTCCACTCGTGGAATACAGTGTTAGCAGAATTATTTAGTTAAACCCGCTTCTATAAGAGGTAGAACCCATGACAAGTTTAGTAAATTTACCTAGCCAAGTTTCCATGAAAACAATTTGACTAACTGACACAAAGAGAGATAGAGAAAAAATCGAGCAACGTTCCATGCAGTGCCAGTTTTCCATGCCGAAACTTTCATTCACATGACGTTGAGTCTAAAGAATGGGGCACCCCATACAACATAAAATTTATAAAACATTTGCGGCTTTCAATCGCAAAAGACAGTAGCTGCCATGCAAAATTCAAGAAATTCAACTGAATTTCAACAAACAAATAGGGAAGACTGACTGACCTTAGGCTCTAGACAAGCCTGGTATAGTTTAATACTCACTGAATTTTTCACGTCAACTTCGAATCTATAGAAACTCTCTTTTTCCTCTTCTTTTTCTGTCTATTGTAATATGAAAATATTTCATACGAGTAATAAAAAGGATATGCAGCTATAACATAGTTGACTTGAAGAGAAGAAATCTTTTAGTTTTGACTTATTTTTCACTGCGACTGTGTCTGAGTACTAGTTCTGAGTCAAATTAGTCACAGAGGCTCAGTTGTTGTTAATTGTAATCTATGTTTCGAGGTTTCTTGTATAGCCGACAATTTTACGGCAGACATAATAAAATGGAATGAACAAAATAAAGTAAATAGAAAACTTAAAGCCGGGCGGCTTTTGCATGCGAGCTAAAATGCCTCAGTGTTAGATGCATATTGAATGTCATTTTACACAAATGTCATGCCGCTAATGTCGTGGAAAAATTTTCAAAGCTTGGTGTTTCTTGTCAACCAATGTTTCTGCAAAACATTTTGCTGACTAATGCGTTTGTCTCCTTATCTTCAGTTGCACTCTTTAGCTAATAACCTACAGAGATTAACATTTTTGAGAATATGCATTGCTGTTTAGCATGTCATCTCACGAACTGAGACCCCGTGGCTGAGCTTGCATCAGATATTATGTACTTTCAGCGCTAAAAACTGGGCAATCTTTTATTCCTCAAAAGCATTTTTATTTGTCTACATTACCCGACGCCGAAAATCTGCTGCAGTTTCGAATTTTACTTTCTTATAAGAATTTGAGACAAAATTGAAAACGAGATCCGATCTTTTACAGTCTGTCACTCGAGAAAAATCATTATCTTAATGTTCCACGAGACGAAAAACACTTTTTGTTTTGCAAATAATTTTAAATATATGTCGGGAAAAACAATATCTTATATATACTTTTCGCTTTTCAAAGGAAAAAATCCTATTTTACGAAGAAAATGTAACGAGTCGTTGAATTTTCTCGAAACATCACCCAACATTTCGAGAACCACGATTAAAATATTTATTTTCATGCTTTTAAAGGAAAAGCTGTGTGCGGTTTCATCTTTTTGCAATCTAGAGCATTTTCCACCTGCTTCGTGGCATCATGATTCCTGCTAAAACGCAAAAAAAAAATTACATATTTTTTTGCAATCGCTTACCCGGTACAGTGTTCAAACCACCCGGAAAAATGGCTGTTTGTGACGCTCGACCTCTTTCCCAAATTAAAACCACCCACGCACGGCTAAATCGGGCAAAAATAGACGTACAACGAGGTAAAAATGCGTAGGATTTTAAAATGGATTTTTGTCCTCTGAAAATTATGCAACAACAGCAGACCTCGTAAATTATTTATGGTCGCCTGCCGATTGATTTCTTTTGAAATTTAGTTTGCGATCAATCAGCAAGCTCATATTTGGAAGTATTTTGTTTCACTAATTTCTTGCAAAAAAAACGATACGAAAAAGGGAAAAAAACCTGGCTCGTCCAAGGCCGATTTGGGTCGCTTCAGCGTGTTACATTCGCAACAAAAAAAAATCAAGCCCCTTAGGGCAGAGGTTATTATTCATTTTGAGCATTTTCATTAACATGCACTTTTTTTTTGATAAAAAAAATGTTTTCCTTTCAACTCGTTATAGACGGGCTTTATTGTGTATTTATATACACAGACTTCAGATGACGTAACGCTGACGTCAGCGATAGGCCTTATCTAGCTCGTCGCACAATTGTTTCCAACAGTTCTTCTAGCTTGGTGAATATAATTTACGAGTCAAATTAATTTTAAGTTTTTTGGTCCACATAAAGACGTGTACGTATGCATTTTTATCCTGTCTTTCCGCCGGTGGGCGTACATTTGCTTTTTGTTTAGATCTGATGACGTCAAGCCCTTGGTCCAAGTCTTAGTGAACTCTTTCTGCTAAGGTTTTCATTCCATGTTGTGATTCTTGAGAGGCAAGGGAAGACTGCTGCGTGTGCGGTCAAGCGTGTCAGTTTTTTGCTGCTTTGAAGCAAAAGACCTTCAAGAAATAGTGCCACAGGCTCGTCGAACTTGATATCTTTTCATTTAGAGGTGAGTCGTTTTTTACTTTAATTTCTATTAAACTGGTATCTTTGGATGGAAGTTCCGCACTAGATTTGACTTCAAGTAAGATTTATTTTATTCATACACGGGCGTGGTGAGTAGATAGATACTTCTACCTTGCTTCTATTCACGGAGGCTTATTTGCCTCCCATAAATATGCACATAATAAGGAGTTAACAAGTAGTCCGTTTAACAAAAAATATCCCTAAATGTACGTTTTAAAGAAAAAATATATAGTGATCATCATATAAGTCTAATAAATTGTAACGATTTAAAGCAAAAATTTTCCCCTAAACGATCGTTTTCAAATGGAAAGAAAAGCAAAGTCGAGCACTTTTTTTACGCAAGTAGATATCAAATTTCCAATTTCATTGTGTCATCAAAAAATGAAAAAACCAAGCAACATTTTCCATAAAATACGCCTATTCTTACTATCAACGGTTGCAGAAGAAAAAATTACAGTTTCCTATACTCTAGAGCCGGCCAAACTATACATATGTCTTTGTTGTCGCATGTGAAATCGTCAATTCAGATTTGAATTATTTTTTTGCCTGGCGTTCAGAGCGGAAGTCCTCTTTGAATTTTTACTTCCGGTACATTTGGACCGTTTCCTGTGACGTCAGTTACCCAGAAGTCTCGCGGGTGATTGATGATGCTCGTGTGGCCGGTTGTTACATTCTCTCTGTGTTCATGGCATGACAATTCGACTGTTTTAAGGGCAAAGTTATATCTGTTTTAATTACCGAATTGACGACGCCTTCTCCTTCAAACCAACTGAAGACGCTGCAGCGCATTTGAATTTTCCGTTGCAAATTCGCGCCCAGAAGCCGTGTCCATTCTTCACCGAGAAATCCTCGACACAGTGCACTTCGGTGCATTTATTCGGCGGCCTGTACTGCCATCGCTTTCAGGAACGAAAAGAAAAACATGTCTTGTAATTTTTCAGGTGAGGTAAAGTGGCCGGCAAGTGGCATTCCCGGGATTTGTTAGTTAGACTCAAATTAAGCTCGCCCACGCTCTGAAATGTGTTACGAAAATATCATCGTGGACCAAGAGAACTTTTACCTGTGGTGCCGGGAATCTGTAGTCGATTTCATCTGCAGAGCGCCACCGATTGTATGAAGTTTGCGTCATATTGAGGCGGCCTTTTGTAAGGTTTTAGATCGCGCTTTCTCTTATTATGGGCGTTGTTCACCAACTTGGTTTTTTTTTTGGCTTTATCTTGTTTGGGTCTATGTTTGGAGGGAGTGTAGTTGAGTGGAGTGAATTATTAATTAAGGTTTTTATAAGTAGTCGATTTCATTTCAAGCAAAAACATTTTCCAGGAGTTGAGCATATAGTTTGCCTTTGTACTTTTGTTAATTTCATTTAACTTTCTTCTGGGTAACAAGAAAAGTTAATTTTGTGACTGTATCCGGCTCTAAAAGGAACGACTGTAGGTAGAATTTTCTGTCAGAAGAAAGCTTCAGCCTACCTTTGGCTATTTATTTCCAGCAATATGTTTATCTCTGTGCTTCTCTGTACGCTATTCGATACGTAAAATATATAATCTTCTGTTCCTGTTTGCAGGTTCCTGGCTATATTTTGGTCTCCTTGTATTGTATTGCTTTTTTAGCTTTAGGTTGGTTCGTTTTAAAAATCTAATCTCGTCTGCTTCTATTTCCCGTTTCAGATTTAAGACCGTGAATACGCCGGGACTGGTTTAGCGTTTCTGGGCGAGTTTTCTTACGTTTTTCTCGTCGCTTCACTGTTATCCATAACGTTATGATTAAAGGATTGCAAGTTTTCTCCCTCTGCAGCAACGATGATTGAACATGGACTTCAGCTGGATATTTTCTGAGGTAAGGTCTGTGGAGAAACGACTTTGTTTTGCTTAGGATTAAAATTATTAAAGGGCGAGCAGCCTAAAACAATAGCTGGAATAAACAGGTTGCAGCCCTTTAAGTTACATCCGTATTTTTATATCTTATTATCCCGAGCTTTTAAAGGCGAATACTTCCTCTCGTGGTCTTTGATCGAGCAGTTGTTTTGAAATCTCAGCCGGTTAAAATCTACCCACACTTTGTCGAAAAACATTCTGATACGTTGGTGTGAAACAGATTAATTTCATGGAGAAATTCAAACTGTTTTTAATGGTTGTCTGGAAGTTGACTTAAGCTTAACCAAAAGACTTAAAATGTTGTCGTAAATGACAAAATGAAATGTGAATTTTTGGTTAACCAAAGGCTACTTTTCCTGAATGTAGAAAATGTCTGACCTATTTTATATCTAGAACGGCAATATTCTGGACACAACCTGCTAATTACTTTATTTATGCCACAACCATCGTTTTCTGTCTCTTAATGCAACGTGTGAGATGAAAATAAACACTTAATGATAGGGCATAATCTAGCAATTTTTCTTTCACAAGCTGCAATTTGCAAAATTTTTTCCAATTTCACAAATCTCAGATGAAATTATAAGCAAACTTCTTATGAATCCGAATCAATTCAGTTTTTGTTTGTACTGCTCCTGATTGCTCGTAGTCAAAAGATCCTGTCGGGCGGAGGTTTTGAATCCCTGTGGAGATATTCACATTATGTTGAATGTGTGGCTGCATTAACGCAGTGTATGCTAGTGTTTGATTAGAAGTTTGAAGGTTTATCAAATGGGCTGCCATATCTAAAGCTGTTCTTCCGTTTTGCCCTAGTGTTGCTTACTTCCATTAATCTTTTCATTCCCTGCTCATTCTGTACCTTTACAATATCAATTTTCTGCGTGCTAACTCTACTGAAAAGTAACCTTCACCTTGAAATCAAAACCGCCTCTTATTTAATATTCATGGACATTTGCATTTTGTCAAATTCTTGATTGCATGCAATTACTGCAAGCTTAAGTGTGTAGTGTACAGTTATCCTTTGTTAGGATGTACAGATAAGCTCTATAAATTATGCTTTTATAAGAGATTAACATTGTCTATAGTTTTGATACAGACGAAAACTGATTAGGTTTCCATGCCTTTTGAACAGCAGTGATTTGGTTGTTTTGTGGTTGAGGACTTGAAGTGTAGATTTTTAGTTTGTGATTGGTCCAGCTCTTATTTGGAAATAGCCATGTTTAAAGTTTGCTACAATTCAGGTATTTATTTTCAAAAGGTAACTGGCCAATTTTGTTTCAATTTGCCCGAAAAGCAAACGTGTGTCTTACAGTAGGCACATACACCTTATTCCAAAATGGCGAAGGATTTATTATTCTTTTATATTTATGTTAATTAGCCCACGATGCCTCAATTCCAGCTAGCAATTCTTTTGAATTCCCAAGATGCAATTGAGACATCAAGGGCCAATTAACATAACTATAAAAGAATAATAAAATTGTTGGCATTTTGGAATATGGTGTATTGAAATGTGGGAGTGGAGTTAGAATGGTGCAGTCAAATTTTATTCTTTGGAAACAAACCCTGAGTGTAGCCTGAAAGAAAAAAAGCCGTCTCTCCTCTCTCCGCATTGCTAGGGACATTTTGCTAGGAGGGGCATCTGTTCCTCAGCAACAGAAATTCCATACTGATGACTTAAATCAATGTTTACATAATTAATTCAGTAGCCATGAGGTTCCAGATGTAAATTTTTTTTTATTTTATGTTTCTCCTGATCGATTATTGTAATGTTTTGTGTTCTTCTGCGAACAAGCTCCAGCAAAACTCAATTTTTTTTTTCTAAAGAAGAATATATTCCATGAATAGTTGGTTTATCGCGTTTACTTTAGACCTTTGTGGCCTTTTGTCTTTCGTGAACGACAGCGAAAACAATGTAACTACTACATTGACCAATCAGTGCCCCTGACCAGTTGCTGGACAGATTTTACATCAGTAAGAAATTTCTATCACTCAGGTGCAGACATCCCTCCTGGCAAAGCAATGTATTTGTAGGCTACCTGAATTGGGTTTTTTGATAAAACTATGGTAACAGTGTGCATTATACTTTCTGAAACCTTGACTTTATTTGAGACCAAAATGTGTGATTTTCCCCACCCTAGCCTTTTACACACCGCAACCATGGTGTTCAAGAGATAAATAAGAAAAAAATACTTACAGACCCTGTTTCCATAAAATGCAAGGGTTTATAAACAAAATTTTACAGTAATATTGTAATTTCAAGCTTTGATGGTCTCTTTGTAAAATTTTGGGCTCTTTTTTTGCACAACTTTGGGTTCTGAATTTCTGTACTTCTAAGGTACTCATTTGAGCATTGCTCAAGGTACAGACTGTAGAATGAAAGAGATATAAAATGGTTCATACACCCAGAGATTTATCTTTTTTTTTGGGGGGGGGTCAGTTACTGTGACAAGTGTTTCATTCCTGCCTCTACCATTTTAGTTTATGGAAGAGAATAAAAAGGCCAGAAAAAGCGCAATGGTAATTTTTTTTATTGTTGGGTCTCCTCTTAGTCTTATACCGAGTTTTCAAAAGGCTTGCTGCAGTTTTCCTGAAAGATAATTAGGTATGGTAGGAAAATTCTCTCTGCTGTCATTTGATGTAATATGCATGAAATACGTGTACAAATGTATTATAATTGGTGCACTTAGAGTATTGAGGCAATTTTAAGCCTCCTTGCTGAGAAGCATTTTGTATTTAAGAGATGACAATTTTACCAGAAACTTCCAAAAGCTGTTGGATTTGGTTCAAAACACATCTGAGGTTGTATTGAAAGGATTTTGTGAAAGAGATTCAAAGCTGTTTAATTGGCCATCATATAAAAATTCCAAGGGTTATTTGTCCTTATCTACAGGAAGGTCTCTCAAGTGTTTATTAAAATAAGGGTATATGGACCGCTTTTTTGAGAAGATAAGTGTACATTTATGTGTCATCCCATCACAATATGTTAAATCAAACCAACCAACATTACCGGTAATATTAGCATTCTGTTCCACCAAGATTATTTTCTAGAAAATTCTGTGCCTAAGGTTGAACATGTCTCTATTACTTATTTAAAATGTTAGAACATAGAATCTGATTATCTGAATCATTTCCACTCTTCACTGCAGACATGAAAAAGATTGTCCAACATTTTAAAGTCGGTGCTCACTTAACGTCCGCAGTTTAATTTGATTTCTAGCCTGCTTCAACGGGACTTTGTTAGCTGAGTTGCAGATTATATTCATTCTCTTTTGTGGTACGTTGTTACGGTTTTCGCATATGTAACTTATTTCGGTTCTAAAGGTAAATAATGTAATGACATCAGAAGTGCTTGTAGAAAAAATATATGGTAAGGCTAAGAGTCTAGTTTGTGGACAGTCACAGCATTTTAGTATTCTGTGGTATATATTCTTGAACATCTTCTAAGGATATTGGCATAGGTCTACTCAGATTTTTATTTCAAACCAAACATAATGTGTCACACCATTTTTCAGGGTAAAATATTACCACTATGCATTCACTTCGATAATGTTTAACCCTGTTTACAAAATTAAATAAACAGAGTACACTGTCCTATATTCAACACTTCGTTTAAGGAGTTATCTATCAGATTTTACAAGCCTTCCAAAGATTTTCCTATTTTTGTAACATGTCTAAATTTAGTTGTAGTGTGTATGTACCTTTAATATAAGGTTACTGCCACCATAATATTGGTCAACATACTCTCAGTGAGCACTTACATCCCTGTATGTTGAAAGTTAGTTTTTAATTTATAAAATAAATATCGATATTGTTAAGGGTTTGTTATTTAAATTAGAGTCATCTATTATTATAAGGACAGTTGTCGCTTCAACTTAGTTTTATGCCTTAAGTCACATGGCATGATCTTTCAAGTGAAACCTCCCAGCAGTAAACCTTGTAAGGTATTATTTGTTATCAGTAAATTTACAGGAATACATTGTGTCCTTTCTTGGAGCTAGCATTTTGGCACCCTACAATTTTGTAGCAGTGACAGTGTTCCATGTTTGGATGTTTTGTTTGTTGTCCATTACTGCCGGAGACAATCCTCTCCACAAAAACTACTTGACATTTTATTTTCTTAATCAGTAATTTAGTTACCCCTGCATCCTGCCTCCTGCATCCTGCATTCCCAACACATAAAATCCCTAAAGATGCAAGATAATTGAAAGTGCATGTCCTCAGCGTGCAGAGAAAGGCATATCCTATAGCCCAAGGCTGGTTAATTGTATGTTACAGGCTAGTGAATTCTGTTCTTTACTTCCCCGATGGGCTAGTGAATTTTTGGGGGGAATTGAAATTATAGAACTGTAATCAATCCTGCTCATCCAAAAATGTTTCCTAGCTGGAAATGCTGTAAAATGGACTTTTTTTGCTGCCTGGTCCACACAAATACTCCAATAAAATCTTTGATTTTTGGACTGGGGCTAGTGATTTTTCTTGCTACTAGTCATGGGACTCATCATCATGCAGCTGTAGCAATTTGAAATAAACATACTGCTCAAAACAATTACTTACTCAAACTTAAGGTTCCGTTGCACCATGTAGCTGTAATAAAATACATTTGTAAGGTTTTAAAGAGGTAGAAGTTTTGTTAGAAATGTTAGGCCCAGGTCAGTCAACAAACTTTTCATAAGCCAAACCTAATTCGAATTGAGGCCAACCTAAAATAATTATTTAGACAGGCTGAATTGATTCAGACGCCGATCATAATAGCAGCTGAAGTAAGTTCAACTCGCAAAAAATGCTCATTTTGGTCAAACTGTTTACAAAATAGGTTATAATAATTTATGCATAAGGTCCGGTACATGAAAATTTCAGCGTCTGAATTGAAGCTGTTGCAAAGACGCTCCAAAGACGAAATTCCCAGCTTGGCTAGGCAAAAGGAACAGCTGAGCTGTTCCAAATTGAAACAGGCGTTCCTAATTGATTGAGGCGCCAAACTTTTCAGGTACTTGATTCAATGTATTAGGTTCGGCTCATGAAAAGTTTGTTGTCTGAACTGGGCCTTCGACGTCATGAATAATTTGCATACAGATCATTCAAGAAAGAAACATGATTACTTGTAGTTTATATTGCCCCCCACCCCTTACCTGTACTCCTTATTGGTCTGGACCTCAGTTGATGGGAAGTGTTAATGCTTGTTTGCATTTTGCTCTGGTATAGTGGAGGAATTAAGACCAATCCAGCCATATTTAGGTCTTACCAGCTATTGGGTTTTCATTAAGGTCTCGGTAAAGGAAAACGAGGTGCCCACAGAAAAAAATTCTAGTCGCGCGAGTATTTTCGCTACAAAGGCAAGTTATATATCAAATTAAAGCTAAAAGACTAAATTACCTTATGAAAGATTTTATTTCATCGAATTTCAAAAGGCGCTTAAGTTTTTTGCTCTCGAACTCAGAGGTATCGAGTTTACTGCTGAAGCTCCAGCCCTTTCGCGTTGTTAAATATTCACTTCCTTTTTATTGCATCTGATTGACAGATAAAAGACCTAAAAAAGGGTGTGAGGAAATTTGCATATGTCTCGTATTAGCGGAATTATTGCATTTCAAACTAAAAAGTCGAATATCGAGCGCGATTTACGCAAAGAAACTGGCATAAAATGAGTTACAAAGGGAAATCGGAAAATTCCTCACACCGTTTTTGAGTCTATATCATTATCCATCATATCTGAAAGTTTCAAAGTGATAGCTTAAAACCTGTCCCGACTGGAGGTCGGAGAATTTTGATTTTTGCGTCTAAAATAGAGTGAGAGAAAATCAGCTCTAACGATTTAGCGCGAGGTCCACGCTTGGCTGGTTAGCTCAGAAAAGGCTCATTTTAGAAGGGTTAAAAAGCACTTTCTGATTTTCTTTTTCTTCCAAAATAAAATTTAGGACCCACTCATGCCAAAAATCCCAAAAAAACAAAATCAAGCAATGTACTAAAATTTTCATTTACCGAGACCTTAACCATAGCCCCTTGTTCCTAACCTTGTTTGTCTATTTTGAGACTTCAAGCTAAAAAGTGCATATAAATTTTGGACATCCTGCCAGTTTATGTATAATAAAGCATAACAATATCTTCTGCTTACAGCTGTATGTAAGATTTGAGAGGAGGTTGCTCTGTGCAAGTCTCACTATGAGTACACTGTATGCCTAAGATTATACCACTGTCTACCGACAAGACATCGCTAAGAAAAAACAATACAAAATAAATGTACTTGTTCCACAATAAGCTAGGTGTATCAGAGGTTTCACTTTGTACTCGATCATCAACCAAAGCACAGTACATGCACAAGTTACCAAAAGAGAAAAAAGTGCAAAACACCAAATAACCAAACTTGCATGTTCATGTACATCCCGTTGAAAGGAGCAGAAGTGACGTGTGTCACTAGAGTGCTTATATTACTACAGTCACGCCTGTGTACAACGGCCACCTTTGGGAAATGGCAAGGTGACAGTTATATACAGGGTGACAGCTATATACAGGTCAACTTCGCAGAAAATATAAAGCAACTGAAAATTTTGGGAAATTTTCTGGTGACTTTAAGATACAGGGTGACCGCTATATACAGGGCCGTTATATACAGGTTTGAATGTAGTGTGATCAATTTTATCAGAAATAGTGTTAGGCAACACCCAATAAAAAGAGGACAGCATGCAAATGAGGTAGTTAATAAGCCCTCTGTACTCACCTTGCAGTTCTACCGCTAGTGTACATGTACTTTTTCTATTCACAAAGTTTTTTTAGGCTTGATTACCAGCTGTTGTTCGGGAAATGATTCCACACTCCTCCCACAAAAAGACACTTGGAGGGGGGGGTTTGCTATTACCTATTTCCACCAACACTCATCCAGCCATTTCTTCTCTGGGAGCAACAAAACCAAACCCAAGAGAGTGGCAGAAAGTGAAAAGAAAACTTCTTGTTTTGCAAAAAAGATGCTATCCAAGTACAGAATTTTTTGCCTAAAATATCAACTTCAGTGACAAAAACTTTGTTTGTAAACATTTTCCAAGTTTCTGCCGTCCATCAAGGAAACAGACTAAACAGAGAATTTGTTAAAAGATCAGTGGAAGCATTTTCTTGATGATCATTTCAGTATTTCTCATAACCATTTCTTTGATAATGTATTGTTATTGTCAGGAGAAAATTAATGTTTATCACTCTTGTGTTGGACCAGCAGGAACAGGCCCTTTGTAGGTGGTGAGTCATGTGGTACAAACTGCTATGCCAGGACGCTGAAATGCAGTGGAACAAGACTGACAAAGAAGTAGCCATAAATAATATATAAATAATAAATAATATTTTTTCTGGTTCACTTCTTGTCTGTCCTACAGTGTAGCATGGCATGCAGTGTTTTACCATGTGGCTGATCACCTGCTGGCAGGCACGTTGGTGTTTGCACCTGAACCAAAATGTTCTCTTTGTTGCCTGTTTTTTTTTGTCACTCACAACAAATTTCCGGGTGCTATAACTTAAGAGCACTTGTTAGCATTTTATTTCCTTGAGAAGTATGCAACTGCCATGTTATTAATCTTCTAAGGTTGTAGAATTTTTAGTTGTGGCTTACATTGGCTTCTGTGGTGTTTAAGGAGTTTCATTTAATCAAGATGTGAGTGACTTTCCATCATCACTAAAATGTCTTATTCCTTGTATTTTTTTTTCACTGTTTAAACATTTTATGTTAGGGAGTTAATACCATTTCCTTTCATTCATGGCATGCATCCCATAGGACAGAAAGATTGATCAATCAAACTGAAGAGGTTTTTGTAGAAGAATCGTGTGATTTCTGTGGCTGTTGTTTATTAATGATGCATTTATTATAGTGTTTTTTGTGCTTTACATAGAAAGACTATAATTATTTCAATTAAATTATAAATTTTATATTTATATTAAACTGTGATAAATAATTTTGGAGTCTGTCTTCCAACTAACTGTCTGGTTGCATAAAGGCCCTTGAAGCATTTTCAATTTATGACTCACTGTGTTTTGCACTGGGACTCATGATTTTTCACAAGAGGAGTCCCAGGACTCACCTTAAGTGCATTTGTAACAAAATCACCGATCATTCTTACTTGGCTGACATGATTATGATTATTGGATGGGCTCTTAAACAGTTTCCATCATTCTTTGTGTTCCTTTGCTAAAGAATCAGAATAACTGATTTCTTGTCACAGAAAAAGTCGTTAAGATTGTTAGTTTTCCATCCATGGAGGAAGCTAAACTACCACTTTATGTACCACTGCTACTACTACTTGACCAATAATCTTTTTCCTATGAAATGTTGTGATTGACCAGTAATATTAATTTACGACTAGTATTTCAGTCTACATGTTTGTACATTTACTCCAAGACAAATGAAATGTTTGAAAGTTGTTAATTTTTGCCACTAATATTTCCATAGATAGGGATGTGGAGATTTGCAATATTGTGGTGTAGGGTAATGAAATGTTTGAAAGTTGTATATTTTTCTTAGATAGGGATGTGGAGATTTGAAATATTGTGGTGTTGGGTATTTTTCCGTGCAATTTAAATCTTGAATCGTGATATTACTACTGGAGTTGATTGTGTTAATATTGCTTACAACAGGCGTCTTTTTTTGCTAAGAACTTGACGTGCAAGGTATTTTTTTTAAAATGACAAAATCACAGCTTCGCATCAAACAAATATATTTTCCAAAGCGTGTGTAATACAACTGTACATTCAGCAATTGCTTTTGGCTGGTTCCTAACACTAGGCAGTTTTTTAAGTCTTAATTTCATGCTGTTTTTTTTTCTTTTTCCACAGCATTGTTTTTTCAGATGATGGATGAAAGATTCCCTATTGATAATGGTACAAATATGACAAACCACCAGGAAGACGGCACCCATACTTCTGTTGAGGTCTAGTATTTCATGTTGTTGTGTGGCTTAGGGCTTGAACCACCAAGTTAAGGTATTTGAACTGCTATAAAGTGAAAAATTGATCATGCTTATAAATTCGCTTATTTGAAAAGTACTCATAACCTGAACTCAAATTCCAAAAATGAAGCATTTTTGTTAAATAGAAGCCAGTAAAATAAAGGCCAAAGTTGGTATCGAAGAGCGTTATGTTGGAAATATTAATAATCACAGGGCTGAAATCTGAAAAGGTACTTTCCATTGTTGACAGAAATAATGCAATTTTGACAACCCGACACGCTATAATGTATTATGAGTTTCAAGTAAGCTAGCACAAATTATAGCAAAATTTGCTTACCTTCTACTTTTGTTTTCATTTTGGGCAATTTTGGGGCTGCGTTGGACAGCACTGAAAACAAATTACTGTAAAAGATGAGGATTTATTATACCATGCTGAAACTTGCCAGGTTTATTCACATAATGTTAAGGAAAAAAATCTTAAATTCCTGCCAAAGGGGGTAGATTTTGGAATTTTGGGCGGCAGTCTGAAGTTACAGGGCATTACCAAAAAATTCCATCTCTATATCTTGGGAAAAAATTGCCAGGCTTTGTTGGGAACTTACAGGTAAATGAACAATCTAAGTTTAAGTCAGTTCCAATTTTTTTTATTCCTGGCTATCGAGGGAACTCCTGAAATATGCAATTATTGTTTTTTTGAGCCTGCAATATAAATCTGAAATAACACCGTAGGTGTAAAAATTAACTCCTCATATATCAATTTTCTGAAAGTTCAGCTCTCACTTGACAGACCTATGTAATTTTCATTTTGCAAAATTCTTTATTATTAATTAAATTTAAGAGTTTATAGCAGATCTGATACCTTAAGCTAACGTGTTCCCACCATGCATGAGCCAATGCGAGGTCAAAGTTAACTACCACCATCTTTAGGCCATTAAAAGTAGGGTACCGCCTAGCTGTTTTGAATTATGAAATGATAAGTGTAATTTCTTTTGCCTGACAATCTCCCAGAAATCACTCAAACACTTAATAAATTATTATAAGTAACTCTTTGCTACTTTAGAAAAAGTTAGGATTTGTCAGTTTTGATTGTTCATCACTTGCCTTGTGGCAACACCAGGCATTTGACTGGTCATGTAAAAGTATCTTCGACCAGGAGGTATCAGGTGTTTTATAGGTTTGAAGAATGAGAAAATGAATGACTTTGTTCAGGACAGAAGAAAGTGGTTGTAATTATGGAGCAGTTTTAGGGCAAGGTTCCTAGGTAATAATGTCCATCTCTTTTCTCAGAAATCTAAAACCCCAGTTGTTACCACTGCTGAGGTGTCCAGCGACGAGAGCACAAAGGCAGATTCCCCTGAGCAGCCTCAAGCTGTCACCATGGCAACACAACCCAAGGCTTCTTTGAGTACGGTCCATGTGCAGCAAAGTTTTCACAGTACGCGTACGTCAATTCCGGTTCTCACTCATTCAGTTTCTGAGGTAAAACTGATGTCATTTTAAAATGAGCATTTCAATAAGTGTATTCTCAGGTGCCACTTTACAATGTACTGTACTACTCAAAAGTAAGCTACTACTCTCTTGTGAGATGAGACTCTCCGACATTACAAGAGATGAGAGTCTCATCTTAGGGGACAAAAGTCTATGCCCCTATGGCCATCCCCTTTTTTTCTCCATTTAGCGTCAACTGACCCAAATTTCTGGCATTTTTCAAAAAAGGCATGATGTAGTTAAACCCTTTTTAACTTTAATTAATTTTTTAAATCTAAAAATTGAGCTTTGTAACAGCATTTCCAGGCATGGAGGTTTCGGCAGTCTATCATTTTTAATTTTTACTGTAACATCGACCATCATATTTCCCTCCATCAGAGATGCCAACTTCTGGAAATCTAAAATCTGGAGACTCTCTTCTTTTAGAGACTCTTCTTTTACATTCACTCATTATTTGTCATCACAGGTTTCTGTTTAATGTTCCTGAACTATGAAGCTTTAGAAACAAAACATGTGACTGCTATCCATTATTGTGATAATGACAGAGCTTTCCTTTTTCTTGCAGCCCTCTCACCACCATCCTCGGAAAACTCTTGTGCGAAGTACTGCTGTGACAACTGTGCCTTCACCCCCACCCCCACACTACCCAGATGAGGTCACTGAGGTACTTAGTGAATCATGTTAGTGTGTTGTGTGCCATAATCTCCAGTGATCAATAGAGTAGGGTCACTAAAGCAAGAGAACAAGACACTAGACAGGCATTAGAGACTGAGGTTCACTTTCTAATTAAGCATATAGGATAAAAACTGGAAGCAAAAGGAGACATTTTGTTAGGCTGCAAGAAGCACAAAAAATTCTGTTACACAATGTTTTCCAGAGGAAGAAAGGCAATGACCCAGGGATAATAGAAGAGAAGGAGTGATTGTGTAAGAAAACAAGTACTACACTGTAGAATTTGGCACAAAAAATATTAGTAACAATCAACAGTGATTTAGTGAAAGAGAAACAGGTAAGTAAAATCATAGAAAGTTGATGTTTCGCTCTCATTGCAACCCTATTATCAAACTATCGACAGCACTGTAAGTAACAAATTATGCGTGTGTAGTTAAATAGTTCAGAGTCTCAAAAAATTGGCTTTCTAACAAAAGGAAATCCTTTACACAAACACTTAAGCACCAACAGAGTCACCTTGCACATTGAGAGATGGCTTAATAATGGTAAAAGCAGAAAGATTAGATCCTCTGCTATTCTGTCATTTTGTTACGATCAATAATTATAATGTCTTTAAAAAGTAAGTTGACTGTTGCAAATCTCCATTTTCAACTCATTTCTCTATACACAATTCCTGCATCACAAGCTAGCAAGTGCATGTACAGTGTAGTTAAATAATACGTTTTTGTTTTGTTTTGTTTGTTTGTTTTTTTTTTTCAATGAAAGCACTTTGTTTTATTTACCATGGTCTCTTGTAATCTTCTACTAAGTAACAGATTATTCTTTCTTTGCTAGGGGACCCCACCTTACAAGAACACAAGTTTTGATTCCAGCGATAGTGGAATAGCTGGAGAATTGCCGCCAAGACTGGAGGCTCTTGCCAGAGCCTCTAAACAGAGTTCGCTTTCTAGAGGTACAGTCTAAGAATGTTTTGGCTTGGCAGTGGTGTTGAGATTGGAGAGATTTTTAGTACTCATCTTCGTGACTTCTCCTACAAAAGCATTAACCATGAATAATTCTTTTGTTTTCTTTGCTAATTATTATAATTGTTTTTGTATTCTTGCAGATGGTTCTTTTGAATATACAGATTCTACTGGAACAGATCTCCATGATTTTATTATAAAGACTTTAAAAAATCCCAGGTGGGCATACACTCCTTTCTTTGAACTTTACAAAAAGAGCATTTTACTTTCCTCCTGTTTTCTCGTTTTCAAGAAGACCAAAATTGAAGGAATAGAATGTGATGCAGTATTTAAAACCTCTGACATGATTTTTTACGAACTGTTATAAGAACTTTGCATTGCATAAACAGCAGCACAAAGAAATGCTGCTTATTCAGTAGACTTTGATTTAAGTATTTAAATGGAAAATGGTTAAATTGAAGGATTTCATTCTCAGACTAAACCCTTAAGCCCAATAATGATCAACATCAATTTTCTCCATGTAATATCGATGCTGAACAGAGTGGTCAGAAGAATTCAAGACATGACCATTCAAGATGAATTTTATTGATATTTTAACACCTCGTCACTATTCCTCACTTGAATAATAAGAACATAAATTTTGATATTAGGATTTAAAGGGTTAAATAAGTGTTAATATTGCAGACAGTGCTACAGGAAACTGCACATAGTTTTCACTTGAAGAGACACCAACATGACTTTAAAACACTACTTTGATTTTTCATTCATGCCGCAGGGGCGTAGCCAGCTTTTCAACAAGTTGTAAGCCTGGCTGACTTTCATTTCCACATATCCTGAAAATTCCACGCATGACTAGTATGTACTGACCTCACCAAATTAGCTCACCTCAATAACACCTAATTTATTACAAGTGGTAGAGTGATCAAACCAAAAATTTGTAGGCCCTGGCCTATAGGTCTATGGGCTGGCTACGCCCCTGCATGGGAATGATTGGTTCTTCACTTTGCGCCTTTAATAAATATGGAGTAACTAAGGAGGCAGCATGGTCAAGCAGTTTGAATACCAGGCCTGTAATCTGGAGGCCCCAAGTTCAAGTCCTGCTGTGGGCCCAGTTCCTTGAAAGATGGTTAAGTCTAATCCGAGATTAAGCCAAATTTTAGGCACATTTTTCTTGTCTAAGAAGATGTAACTCAAGCTTACAAAATACTGTTGAGCCTTTACTCTGAGATGAAGTAATGATAACACGAAATGTTACTCCAAGCAATGCATAGAAACATAAAAAATTAATACAAAATCGGAACAAAATTTTTATCCCGGATTAGTGTTAATCAGCCTTTCAGGAACTGGGCCCTGACCACTAGCTGGATTTGTTCTCAGTGGTCCCGAGTTCAAATCCTCAGCCACGCTTGTAAATAGCCAACCGGTTTGCCTCCTGCCAGTTGGGATTCTTCGCCATATTATATTTTGTTTGAATAATAAATTATTATTGGTTCATTATCTCTGAAAAGCCCCATAGGGGAGAGTTTATTAAGCATTCATTCATCCATTCATTCATTCATCTTCTGTTCTTTTTTTTCCAATTTGTAGGGATCGCAAATTTCTAATGAGACTAGAACAGGACTTCCTTAATTTTATCCAAGACCCAGCGTAAGTAGATTTTCTGCATATGTTGAACACTTCACTCACTCTGTTCTTAACAAGCCAAACTTGTTACCAACAGTATAAGGTGATTGCCATATTATTTTGAACTCTTTTTACTGCCATTCCAGCAATTTTTTATACTGTAAAATTGACATGATACGTTAAAACCTGTATTTATTACACACCAAAGTGATCTGACTGATGTCTGCTTTAACGGTTTCCACTCAATCCTTAAGCTTAGGGCGCACCCAGGGTGTCTGCTTAATAAGGGTCCACCAAGAGCCCACAACCTAGAGTGAGCATTTTGCTTGTGCCCATGCCAGCAACAGCTTTTTTGCAAACACGTTTTTTTAGATCAATTAATTTTACTTTGAATTTCGAGTATGAAATAAGAAAAAAATAAACTAGAGACCAGGCTCCAGTTGTTCAAAAGGTGGATATCGCCATTCTGTGGCTAAGTCTCTACCATGTGGATAATGCAATTGGTTTTCCTAATGATTATAACTGGATAGTGATTTATCCGGTGGATAGCACTTAATCCACCTTCTTAACAACTGGGGCGAGAAAATAGTATTATTTGTGATGTTTTGATAACATTTACTTTCATATATCATGGTACAAATTTGCACACATAATAAATAATGCTTTAATTTTTGTGAAGAAGAGTACTTCTAAACGTAGCTAGAAGTGATCTGTGAAAACACTGTTGCATAGGCTAAGCATGGGAGTTGCTATTTCCCTTTATGGCTTCCATGTCCACATAACACAGGTTTCACTTTCCTTTAGTGATGTGAGAAAGTGGATGCGTAAGCAGCCTGTAAAAAAACTGAAGGCTTCAGATATCATTTATTTTTCCTCAATTTTAAGGTTACTCTCTCCTTTTCAGAACATTGTGCTATGTTTATATTTCTATTTGTCAGCAGCCTCTTCCTTCATTACCCACCGATGACATCATACCATCGCATGATTGTACACAGAGTGGCAGCATACTTTGGTATGGATCACAATGTTGATCAGCAAACTGGAAAATCGGTCATCATAAACAAGACTATAAACACTAGAATGTGAGTATCTTTGCTATATCTGAATTAAAACTCAGTTTGTTGCTGATTGATTTAGTGTTCTATAATTAACTGTGCAGCCCCCATTTGTGTTTTCATAACCTGTGTGGTGGAGGGTGTCCTAAGGGAAGAGAGAAATCAGGGTATAGGAGGTGCCAATCAATTGCAATTACATGAAAAATGTTGCCTGTTTAGTTCGCTATGAGTTTGTGAGGTGTTGCTGCTGGAATATTGGCAGAATTACCCAGTCTTGGTTGATTTTCATTTATTAATGTAAGCGCTCATTTTATAGCCTCCCACGCAAACGTTCTTAGGGGTTCGTCACGCAATCTCTCCTCCCCCACGAACGTTCGTTCGTTCGTTCGTTTCTAATTTTGGGGGGCATAACTTAACTGAAACAGAAGGGACAAGTGGCCTTTATGGTCAAAGAAACCATCTGGTACTTTGCAGATACCTACATGACCTAGTAATAAGTTGTAATTCACTTTGCTTTTTTGAGTACTTTCCAGAAAAAATGTTGTTACTGTTGGTGCTTATTTGCAGACCTGAAAGCAGATTTTTAGAGTTAATTCCAAGAGAAGAATCCGAGGACTCTGAGAGTGCTGTTCCGAGGTTAATTCTCAGAAGACAAAATACACCTTCAGATGATAGTACACCTCCAAAGGTAAATGTTGTTTAAAATTGATTTTATAATACAGTGAAACCCCCTCTTACAGCCACCTCGTTAATACGGTCACCTCATTATTATGGCCTCTTTTTTCGGCCGCCTGACAAGAACCGCCATACATTTTCTTGTAAAAATACCCATGATAATACGGCCACCCCATTAATACAGCCAAATTTTGGGGGGCCATCGGTGACCGTATTAACCGGGTTCCACTGTATGTGATTTGTATGTCACTGTTTTGACTATTCTTGAATTTGTTACAAAACACATTATGCCTCTGCCCTGAAAAAGAAAAATTATACAGAGCCCCAGAGCTCTGTTCCTTATATCCAGGGTGCCTGCTATTGAGGTGTTAGGAAAAAACTGACATTACCGTAAATCCTCTATTAAGCCCCCCCTTTTTTTTAGGGGAAAAAAGTTAATAAACCCCCCTCTCTATCCCTCCCCTAATTATACTTCACTAATAAATGAGAGACTGTATTAGACTGTATTAGTCATTCACAACTTTAGAACTTCATGTGGACCGATCCGGGATGGTTTATTTGCCAACTGGAAGTTTGGATTTGATTCTGAACCTCAGCTGCATGACCTCCAACCTTCTTGTTCTTGAGCTTCTCCACTTTGTATTCTAGTTTTTTATGGAGAACTGATACCATTGTCTTTTCTAAATGAAATAAGTCTCCCCCCCCCCATTTCTATTAATTCCCCCCCTCAAATGGCCTTGAAATAAATAAGCGCCTAGGCTGCTTAATAAAGGATTTACGGTATTTCATCGTTGCAAGAGTGATTTAGTAGGAGTGGGGACAATGTTAGAGCTAATAGAGGATGGCTGTGTATTGTGGATACATTTGTAGCTGATCATTGGCACTGGAAGCGTGTTAACATGTTCATGTTATGGCAGACACATTGTAAATTTTGTTTGCTACGTGTATGTATTTTGTCGTGTTCATAGATTGATAGTCCAGTTCTTATGCATTCTATGGAGGATAAACGTTCAAAATCAATTGAAGAAAGGGAAGAGGAGTATCACAAAACAAGGGAAAGAATATTTAATCAGGATGTAAGTCTCTCCCAGTGCTGCTAATAAACAATTATTGGATGAGGTTTTTGTGATATCCGGAATAATAAAGGTCGAGGTAAGTGTTATCATCCGAGCCAAGGCCGAGGCTGATAACACTTACTGAGACATATCACAAAACCGAATCTAATAAATATACATTGTTTTGAAGAAAATAACAACAAAAACAACTTCACAAAGAACATAAATTGATATTGTTATAAAATCATGCATTGTGTGCACAACCTACAGACTTGTCCGTTATCTGCTAGCAGATAACTAACTAATCTGTAGGTTGCGCTGATCTCTAAAATTAGCTGTAGGCTCTTAGCCAATGAGAAGAGAGATAGTGAGTACAAGGTATAATGATAATAAAAAAATCTTTAAAATTGTTAGCCCTTTGCATCCAAACAATTTCAAGATAATTTATAATAAAGAGAAAAAGTTGTGAGAAATAATTAAGTGATAACCTCAAGGAAATTTTGTGTAAAGATTACTTACAGCCTTCATAGATTCTTTCCTTCAGTCACATAATCTGCTTTTTTTAATTCTCTCGAAATATTGCTTATTTAACTTCTATTTTGTGACAGTCAATTTCGTCGCAGTCTTCGCAGTCTTCAAAAGATGGTGATTTGCTAGCACCACAACTTCTAACAAGGTAACAGTGCAGATATGATACTGTAGTGAACTCCATAGTTCTTATTCTTGACCTTGGGAATCAAGCTTCAAAAAATTAATTCCAGTCTTAAATTCTCATCCATATCACACGCCAGCGTCTAACCCTAAACAGAGATGGAGGCGATGGACTCTCCCTGCGATTTTCACGTGACTAATTCACGTGACCACACTGAGTGTTTATTGCTGATGAAGACTGGTCGATGCAGTCAAAAGCTACAAGATTAAAATCTGAGACTTTGAGACTAGAATTTATGTTTTCATGTAATGAACTCTTGTTGAACGGGAATAAATGAGCGTCAGTTCTTGCCTGGGATAACCATTGGTGATTAAAATATATTTCTTGGTATCTACCTGTGGGTCTGTAGTGCAACTGCAACTCCTAGTAGGGCCCAAACCAAATCGAAAATAGAAAAGTGACAAATTTTGTTTTGTAAAATACTGGAAACCTTATTAATGGTACCATGTCAAGGTTCTGCGAAATGGGTTTCATTGTATTGAAAACTGGTCACACCATCGGTCACACCACACGAATTAAAGCCATTTGGTATTATTATTATTGATTATTATTGATTTGTTTCCTCTTCTTCATCATGCCCTGGAGATCTTAGTGGAGCTTGCTTTGTAACTTGACCAAGCATTGGGCAAAGCTTGTAAATAAGTAGATAAATAAATAAAATAGTTTGTTATTTCCATAATAAATGACATAATTTCAAATCTTTCGCCGAGGTAACAGGATTGAGTCTCAGTCACTTCACCTTTTCATTACCAACCCAACCTATGAAAAATTCAACAACCCCCAGGGCCCCGTGGGTTATCATCCTTCCCACTTTACGGACAGCGTACAGGTTGTCTACATACGTATTTTTTTGCCCGCGTGCAAACGTCTCAGGCCAACAAAGGGTAATAGCAGACGTCTCCTCCAAGAGATTTAAAGAATTACGGCCGTTTTCGCCCGAAGGCGTTTGCTAGGACTTGAGTCAATTTGCCCGATGCATACAACACTCTACAACATGGTGAACCTACTTCCCCGAGATGTTATTTTAGTTAACCTTGGATTTCACATGTGCAGTCCCTGTCTTTCCATGCTTATTTCTTTTTCTCAGGCTTAAAGGACGACAAATACATATCAGACGAATCGACTTAGTCTGGGCAAACTGCCATCGGGCGAATCAGCCTTCGGGCGAAACGACCTGATAGCGATTTAAATGGGGGAAACCTTTTTTTTCAGGGAGGACATTGATGATGTTGAAACTGAGGTTTCTAAAGAGGAAGCTCCAGGGAGAAATCCTATCAGTAAATTAGGCAAATCCAAATCAGAGGAAGTAGACACTCATACTGATCGATCATCTTCAGGGCCCACTGGTAAGAACTACGGTACCTTAACATTCCAGTAATGAGTCCCCTTCGAGTATAAGTCTCGAAACAAGCCTCCTATATTATGAAATCAGCCAAAGGCCACTTTACAGTCGTGTGCTTTGTGCTGTAAGCTTTGAATAGAAGCGAGGCTGTAGGTGACCTAATTATGTTAAAAAAAAACCTTCCTCCTTTTTATGTACAAATTGTGTTTATTCTTATGCTAGCAAGCTTTACACGTGAAAAACAAAGAGCAGTGCTCGAAAAAACTCCCTCCCGGTAATGCGAGACAAGTGTATTTTCTTGCTACAATGAACAAGTGTCCAAACAACTCATTCTCCGACAAATATATTGACTAAGACGGCAAGAAGTGGCCCTGGGCAGGGAAAATGCTAGTTGCCCAAAGGACAAGCTGGAAATCAATTGTTTTTTCGAGCCTTGTGAGAGGTTTATGACAAAAAAAGGTCGCCTTGAGCCTCGCTTCTATTCAAAGGCCAGGGCACTGAGCACACAACTGTAAAATGGCCGAGCCCCCAGGCGAGCAACACACTAATCTTAGCGGGTGTCCTGTTGCTAATTAGGCGTTAAAAATGTGGATTTATGTTTGTCAGGATGGTTTTTAGCAAGTATCCCCGCGCTCCAGCGTTGCAATTTCAAATCGTAACACTATTATTATTGCAAATAATATTTTTATATGACTGGGGCAGAGGAAACCTCGGCCCCTCGCTCGCGCGTTCTCGCGAGGCTCGCCTCGCTTGCCCAAATAGGAGAGCTTGCTCGCAGGCTACAATAAAAGGGCCGTAATTAGCAGGTCAGGTCGTCGTTTCTCAGATGGTGTTTTACTGCCCAGCATCTGTTCGCAACATTATACTTACAATTTGTTACCTCTAGTATAATTTCGTGAACGTGTTCTAAAAATCTCTGAACAAGCTCTATTGTCTTTATCCAGGCATAAGAATTATGACCAACAAGCCATTCCTAAGGTCAAGCAGTAGTCCTGGTATTAGTAATCTAAGCAGCTCTCCCGCCTTTGAGCGTGTGTCCAACCAATCTCGCCGAGGATCTGATGGAAGCCAGAGAACAGGTCGTCATGTACCCAGCTCACAGACTGTAATGACACCTTTGCCTTACTGGGCAGCCGAGGGCGTGCCTTTGGTTGCTCATACTCTTCCTTCTGGTGAGGTTCAGATGGTGCCTGTCCAGACAGTAGCTCCAGGAATGCAAGGCATGGTTCCAGTCATGGCTGCTGCGCCTAGTACCACTACAACTCAACAGCCTGGTAAGTAAGATTACGAACGCAAGGACACTTCCCATTCAACAAATTTGGGAAGGTCCACGTGTCTAAAGGTACGGAAAAACGGGCAACAAAAAACGTGCAGCTTGTTTTTCAACGTTGCTGCAAAACGAGTTAAATAGCGATGTTGTGCGTTTTACCACCCACATAAAATCTGTCTTGCAACAAATCAGGTTGTTAACAGGATTGAACATGGGTGGTAAAACGCGCAACATCGCCATTATAGCTTAACTGGACGTAAACGGCTGCGATCAGCATGCTACAAACCAATGAAAAACTATAACGCTGGTACCAGTTGTTCAAAAGGTGGATAGCGCTATCCATCGGATAAATCTCTGTCCAGTGAATAGGACAATTGGATTCCCTGATATTTATCCAGTGGATAGTGATTAATCCGGTGGATAGCGCTACCCAACTTTTGAACAACCGGAGCCTGGTTAACAAACCCAAACAGGAACTTCGGCGAGACTAATGAAACAAGGTCAGCTCTGACCTCACAAACACGATCACCTGTGAAAACTTACACCTGACGAGGACAAGCCAAGAATACTCCAAAAGTGGAAATAACTAAATTTGTGAGCTAAGCATAAATTCAAGTAGGAGTAAGATCATAAGATAGAAATGAGAAAAAAGACCCGTGAGGACAAAATCAAGACCAGCCTTGACTAACTAGAAGAAACGAAAAGGAAACTTTAAAGACAGACAAATTTTAAAAATAACTTTTAAAATACTGCTCAACAATGTTCAAAACTGGTACTGTGGCTGTGATAACATTAAATACATTTTTCATTTAGCCTTCTTAATTATTAAAAATATTGTTTCATTTTTAAACCAGCATGATTTAAATCGCGTCAATATTCCCCACACTATGTTACGGTGTCTTCGTTTGTGGTTTGTTTTAATCCGTAAGTGTACTTGTATTGATGCAGGTGGTGTTATGTGGGCCATGTCTGATCCTGTTCAACATGGAGTTATGCTTATAAACCCGTCTACAGGTAACGTCACGTTGAATTTGTACCCTTTGCGACCAAAGGCCTCCTCCAAAAAAATTGAGGGAAAATAGCATTTTTTTTTTACCTTACTAATAACAACCGTTTACGTAGCATACAACCATTCAGTTGCAGGCGAAGCTGTATCAAGCGGTCCGGCACCCTTAGGGACTGGCTTACTGACCGCTTAATACGTGTTTACCGTTAAATACAGTGGTGTGGCAAACCTTTTTTCAAGAGTTTTTCAAGAAAATAAAAAAAGGTGAAAGAGCGAAATATCTATCCCTCGACAAATTGACCTCAAAATGTCTCTACCTCTTATGCCAAAGGAAAGGAGGCAAAAGACTACTTAAGACCATGCCCTGAGTAAATGTTGCACTTTAATGGCACATCTCGACAATGTGACCGTTAAATAGAAGCAAACATAATAAAAAATCAATCGATTGGACCTCGGAAAAAGTGACCGCTACCGTTTTATAGAAGGGACCGCTCAATACAGGTCAGTTTGACAGCAACAGACCCTTGCAGAACTTGGTCACGTGCTTGGATACCACTTAGTAACGGCTCGCTGGTTAGCAAGCCATCCAAGCGTTCATTCTGAGTTTTGATTGCGATCGAGCGAAGCATTCCTAGGTTAATTATTTTATGTTGAATATTAACCGAAATGACTGGACTAGAAGACGTTTGAATTAGCCTAGGAATGCTTTGCCCGATCACTGCGTGGCTTACCATCCAGTGAGCCGTTGCTAAGTGGTATCCTAGCACGTGATTACAAAGGGCCAATTGAGGGAAACGATCTCCGGAACTGTGATCATTAACCTTTAAATAGTTTTTATACATACTCAAAAGTTGACGATTTTCTTTGTAATCTTTCCACAGGCACGCCGTTACTAGGAACCGACGGCAATCCACTTGTAATGCAACCCACATACCAACAAGTAATGGTCAAACCCGGTACAGCACCAGTCTACGCTCAACCATCTTCAGCCCGCGCTGCAGTGCAAAGTGCACAGCAGTCTTCTTCGATAGCACAGCAACAGCAGCAGTCGCAACAGCAGCAACAGAATCCTGCTCAAATGGTGATGCCGCAGTATGTTGGCGTGCCGCAGCCGATGTACGTGATGCCGTCTACGGCTCGTCCTCCCTTTGCACAGCAACAGGCTGTAAGTTTTCCTAGTCAGTTTCAAGCTTCACCGCACGTATATTCTCTCTCTAGAGATTTCAATTCACTTTCCTTTAGAAAATATTAGCACCTTGTTGTCCGTGACCACGAGGTTTTGGTTTTCTTGCAGTAGGCAGCGAGAAATATTAGCCAGTGTAGTATTTAGCCAGAGAGCACAGGAGTAGGTAGTTATCATTTTCGATGTTGGAAAATAAGGTTGGTTCGTTAATGTAATTTAATTTTGTAAATTTGGATGCGACCAAAGAGTGAGAACAATTTTTATCGCAGTAAAATCTCAATATCTGCAATATGTTTCAAGAAAAACATGGAATGCCACATGTATGCAGTAAAGATGTCTTAAAAACCAATCACTTGTAATTGCGTTTTAGTGGAAAATGAGGTAATAAAGGTTGTTTTTAACCTTTGAAATCCGCAGTAATGTCTGATTGCTTGCATTTTGTTTTTCTTTCAAAAAAGATCTGTCTTTCATATCTATTTACGGATGGATGAACGCAAAGACAGCGCGTGGAAACTCGGGGGAAATAAAGGGCGTCCTTGCACGTACTTCTCCCACGCGCGCGCGCCTCCGTGTTGGCCGGCTTTGGCATAAGATAGTGCAGGAAGTCAGTTATAGAACAGAGTAGCTTCTCTATTTACCTTAATTCATTGTATTCCTTGCCATATTTTGAATTCATTAGCATCGTTCTCGTGCTCTAACACTCGATAGCTGATATGTTGGCTCAGAGAGTTTTTATTTGCAGTCCAGCCTGCCAACAGATTTTTAGCGCAACCAAGGGCACGAATCCAACTGTTTAAGTAAATACAAGGAATTGTCTGCAATTTCGTATATTTATTTTTTACAGTCCCTAAAAAGATCCCCTAGATCCTCTATTAAGCCCCCCCCCAGGTGGGGGGGGGCTTATTTATTTCAAGCACTTTTTAGGGGAGAGGGGCTTATTTGAGAGGGGTGTTTATTCGATTAAGCAAAGAAGATAGTATCAGTCCTCCATAAAGAACCAGATTGCTAAGCTGAAATGCTCAAGTACAAGAATTTGGAAGTCATGCAGCCGAGGATCAAAAACAAATCCGAACTTCCAGCTGGTGAATGAGCCATCTTGGATCAGTCCTCACGAGGTTTTACAGTCGTAATAGACTCCTCACAGTAGTGATTGATTCATACAATCTACCAGTTATCAGTGAATAATGATAAGGTGGAGGGAAGGGGGGCTCAACTTTTTTCCCCTGTAAATGAGGGGGGGGGGATTATTTGAGAGAGGGGCTTAATAGAGGATTTACGGTAGAGGTATCCGAAAGGAAGGTTCAACTTTACATTAGATACCTTTAGATTCTAAGACGAGTACGACTACGAGTACGAGATTTTCTCAATACTAAGTAGTGGGTGAAGTAGTGTACGGGTGTGAGCCAGCGTCATTTTGGCAGGAAAAAGTGGTAGCCGTCGTCATTCTAGTACGAGTTTTCGCGCGAATGTCGTGGTGGCGAAAAGAAGATATCAAATAGACCTTGTCACGGTTTTCAACGCCATCTTGACAAGTAGGCAAACGAGTGAGAAATTACAGTGATTGTATGAGAATCTAACGTCAAATAATTTCCGTAGAACGGCTGTTCTGAAAAAAATATGATTTGTAAACTAAAGCTTCACTCCTAAGGATTCTCCTGAAAACACTAGAAGACCTAGAACCACTTTTTAAAATTTCCTATACATTTGTCTTTAAGAAAGTCCCGCGTAAATTACAGACAAATATATGGAAAAACTAAAGCAAGCCTCTGGAGAAATTTAAGCACAGGTACGCCCCCAGAATTTTTAGGACAATCCTTTGCTTTGAAGCTTTAGTTTACAATTGATATTTTTTTCAGAACAGCCGTTTTACGGAAATTATTCGAGATTAAATTCTTGTACAAACACTGTAATTTCTCACACGTTTGCCTACTCGTCAAGATGGCGTCGAAAACCGTGACAAGGTCTAGTTTAAAGGTTTTATCATTTTGCGATCGGGAGAGCGCGTAACTTCCTTCACTAAAGATAACAATGCTAACTTGTCTAGTGAAAAATGGTAAAATGAAGCTTTCCGGGAAGTTTACATTTTGAGGAGAGGCGAAAAACCTTTAATTCAAATCTCGTGCTGTGCACCCTCTCGTGATCGTAGTCGTCCTCGTCCACGAATCTGAAGGTCTCTATTAGTTTCGGTCTTGTGTCTATCAAATTGACCCACTCACGCTGTTCACTTCCTCCACCCTTCACTCCTTACTCTTCCTGTTTAACTACTCAAAACATGTGTGAAAGTTAGTGAAGTGTGATTTGTGATCTGAAATTCTGCAACCTTCGTTGCCCTAATTTGGCGTCGCTACTGTAGGTATCCCGCGTCAAAAACAAATGTTAACTGTTTTAGTCACAGTCATACGAAAAGACTTTAGGAAGGTTACCACCTTTTACCTCTCTTTTGCTTTTTCCGCCTACACCGTGGCCCAGGTGTTTGTGTTCGTAATTCTCGGTGTACCCCAACATTGAAAAGGGTAAGGCTGAGGAGGGGTATTTTCCCACAGACAAATTACCCTTTTTAAACATTACCACAAACTCTATGATTTGGAGAAATGATTCGGTTAAGTTGCATCACCGTCGTGAGGAAGTATAATTTCATTGTCCGGGTGAACGTAGTCCTGAATACGACTGTTGTTTTTGACAGTGACTGACTTTTCAACAACATGTGCGGTAGCCATCTCCAGAGTCAAAGTACGTTGTATCACGTTAGTTGATGCAAATAAACTCAGAGTTTAATGCCATTAACTGACGTTTCGATTCACTTTGACTTTTACGATGGCTATCGCACAGGTTGTTGAAACGTCAGACACTGACTGGTAGAATGTGATTTGAACTCGGGACCATCAAGCCCTGCAGAAACAACTTTAGCCAGTGGTCAGAACAAAACTCAATCCCCGGACCACCGTGTTGCCACGCTGTGGCACAGACCTCTTGGCTTTTTTGCATTTTTTCTCCTACTTATCGATCTCTTCTCTTGAGCGTCTTGGAGCTCCGCTAAAGATATGCCGACGTAGTTATGGGTAGTATTTTTTTAGCTGTTTTTATTGTAGTAGAAAGTAGTTAAAGCCTGTAGGTTCCTGGAGTTCCCCTCTCACTTAATCACGAAGCAACGTGTACTGAACTAGACATAACCATCCAAATAAATTGATCAATGTAGTTAACCAAACAAGCCCTTTATAATATAGCCTTATGACAACAACGAGGAGTGACTGGAAGGGTTTCCCCACAAAGGTAATTGGTTCATTAGACAGTGAGAAAGCCAATGAGACGAACCAAACTCTAATTTGGGTCGACCTAAATTAAGTTAAGATAGTCTGTTGGGTCAAACGTCGAACTTCGGACGCGTCGAACTAATCAACTGAATCGGACCAAAAAGCAATATTAAAAAATTTTCTCCCGAACGAGGCTAAATATACATTATCATCAAATTTTTAATTTATTAGTTTAGTTCGTAGCATGTGAAGGTCGGCGTTTGTCTCGGAGACGATCTTCAGACGAACCTAACTGAGCCGGACGTCGAACTTTTCATGAACTTAACTCGATAAGTTTGGTTCGTCTCATAAAAAGGTCGACGTTTGGCCTAGGCCTAAGCGAGCCACAATAAAGGTCTTCTTCTTCATATGCGACTTCTGTTAACTTCACAAACGTTTTTATCGTACTTTAGGGAGCAGAAGGAACTCCGGGAAGCCAGTGGACAGGAGGATCTGGACAGTCAGTGACGCCATCAAATCCGGGATATCAAGATGTGACTGCTCAGTTTAGCGGGCTTTCATTGTCAGGGCAACAGGCTTCTCTTGATCCAAGCTCTTATCAACAGTACGCCGAAACTGTCGTTCCTAGTTCAAGTTCTACAACCCCACCTATGTATATAAACAGTGTCACGCAAGCTGGTATGACGGGACAAGTTCAATACGTTGTGTTACCCGCTCATTCTAGCGTGTCACAAATAAGGCCTGTATTACAAGGCCAAGGTTATGCCGGGCAAGCGGTGCCTCAAACTGCCTCACCGCAGCAATACCAAAGTTACGTAGTGTCTCCAACACAAACGCCTTATCAACAATTTCCTTACGGTGCCATATCCAAAGATGTCACGTCATCCGTTATTCAACAACACCCACGTTCTCAAACACCACCCACCCCTCCCCAGACTGCGTCGCCTGTCGTTGCAAGTCAGTTCTTACAGCAACAGCAGTTGACGCTGTCTTCGCAAATCCCTGCACAATCTCCACAACAATCACACACCTCCCCATACCAGCAACAAACGACCTCACCCCACACCCCACAGCAAGTTATGCGACCTATGGTACCAGTAGTCATTCAAGGAGGTCGAGGAGTTACTTTGGCAACTGCTGTTGGACAGCAAAACCCAATCCCTTCACAATACCCACAACCTCCAGCCCATGTACAAACACAGTACCCATCTAACCAGAGGCGAATGTATAATATTGATAGACGCGTTACTAAGGCAGGTGAAATGTACGGCTCTGAGGCTGTCATGCAAGGTTCCTCGTTGGTGTCTTACGGCGATGGTACGATTCCGACTGGATATGAGATTCCAGGCGATAGGAGCCAGTACAACTTTCAGTATCAAAGGTATATTCATAGTTGCGTATACCGTAAAATTCCGAAAATAAGCCCCCCTATGTATAAGCCCCTCCAAATATAAGCCCCCCAAAACCGGTAACGCAAAAAACGCTCCGTTAAATGTCCCCTCCGAATATAAGGCCTCCAGGGGCTTGTACTTGGAAAATTCCCCTCAAAGACAAAGTAAAACAAAGCAAAAACGGTAGATTTACTTCCAAGTATAAGGCTAGCCCATCGATTTTGAAACGCAAACTTCCCTCCATAGATAAGGCCCTCCAAAAATAAGCCCCTCGAAAAGGGCTTTTGAAAAATATATGCCCCCGAGCTTATTTGCGGAATTTTACGGTATACTGTGGGTGCTATTGCAGGAAGCTTTACATTTAGGGCCTCTTCACATGAACCCGGTTGCCTGGTCTGGCCAGGTTACCGGGACGAATTTCCCCTTGGATTCATATGAGAAATTTCAGCCCGGTTTCCGAGATGAGATACGGCCAAAGATCCTGGGAACGAGTTCTGGCGCCAAATTCGGGAAACAGCAAACATGGTGAAACACAAGAATTATCACTTTCGCGCCTATCATAGCTTCGGCAACTCTTAAAGCTGTATCACTGCAGTTAAATGGGATGATGTGGAAAATACAGCAGGCAATGCAAGACGATGCCTCCGGACCGCCAGAATTCATCCCGTTAACCGGGCTGAAGTGTTCGTGTGGCAAAATTTCCAGCCCGCTTACCGAGATCCCGTTTGGAAAAACTGACATCTCGGGATCCGAGCCAGCCCGCCCTCTCATATGAACGCATCTAAAATTTTACAAAGGAGTTAGAGTTAAGGCGAGATCTCGGACCCCGGGGGCGCTTTCCATTCAACCCATTCACTAGCTCGAGGAAGAACAAAGACAGAGACTATTATTATTATTGCCTCAATCTGAAACTTTACCACACTGTCAGACAAAAATAGTTGGGACACTTCCAAACAACTAAGTTTGAAAGGTGCTAGTTCAACGAGCTTAAGTCTGAAACGATTTCTCCACGTAACCGTATGTACTCCAGTAACCGCCGCCCCCGGATAAGCACCTCACTAAGGTAAAAGAATATGGATATTTGCAACAGTGCGTCGCTTTTCGATTGTAATCGTTTGGTAACATTTGTTCATGTTGACATGAATGATTAGCAGGGAAAAGAAACCTAAAAAATAGACCCTAACACTCTCTTTTGTGGCCCTTCTTTCCTGGTTCGTGTCGTTTTTGAACGTAACAAAAGAAAAGAAGAAAGATATGCAGTGCCGTGTGATTCGTAGCCTGCAAAGCAGTCGTTTTTTGTATCGTCACGCAACGCACCTCTCACGTTGCGTGACGTCCCAAAGAACGGCCCCAGAGGAAACTATGTAATTCGCAAATGGTTAAATTTATGTCAGCGTCGGACCGAGACGTCCTGAACTTAACAAGCGCTATGGCTATTATTTAGCCTTTCCATAGACACGCTTAAGGATCTCATAAATAGAGGGACTGTGAACAGAAGAGTGATTATTCGAGTAATGGCCAGAGAATCGGTCACATGTTAGAAAAACGACCTTGCGTGAGGGCAAACAATGCACTGGGAGCTGAAGGATATTAGATTTTTGAATGATGTTATTTCTTTGTTTTTCTTGCCCCACTGCGGCGTTTGCCATCCAGCAAAGTGTTTTTGCAATGTGACCATTTCGGTGCAAAGGACGCATTACAGTATAGTGAACTTGCGCAAGCGTGACAATAACTTTGTTTGAAAAAACGTTTCGCCAAACTTCACCTTCCTTTAAATAGATCTTTTGGTAAAAGACCAGGAAACATTAATGTCAAGTGATGATCACGACAAACATGCAAGGAATAGCCATGTAACGGTTGCCACACTCAAGCGTTTTACCGTCGTCATCTTCCTGCCGTCCTGTTGCGTGAACTCACTTATGATTCACTTACGACAGTACTTTAAGTGACCTCAGAAAGGGCAATTTCATTTATGATTGTTTGTGTCTTTTATTTCCAGATATGGCTCCTCAGGGCAGACTACGAACTCGTCAGGAAATCAATATCAGCCGTACAACAAACCAAAAACAAAACAGTACAAGGATCGGAGGGCCAGTCCTCGGGGACAGCAACAACAGCAAGACATGGGCAAAAAACACGGTCGTAAAACACCCGAGACCGACCGAACGACGAATGAACAGTAAGGAACACTGGACAAAGAATTTTTAATGTGTATGTTCTTTACTTGAAATAATGATCGTTTGCTCCTAATTTTTTAACAGTTCTTAAGAACTGATTATCAGAAGGTTGTAAAACCGTCATTTTAATAAAATGTTTTATTTATTCAAGACTTATAATAATCCTAGAAAACCCCGTATAAGTGGTACTTACAATCTGTTTTAATCTACTCTAAGTTTGTCCGTCCTTCCTTTCTTTTGTATTTGCAGGGTTCACACGGTCTTGAAAAGTCCTTGAATTTTAGGGGAAGTCCTTGAAAAGTCCTTGAATTCCGTTTTTCCTTGAAAAGTCCTTAAATTTCTATGCAAGTCCTTGAAAAGTCCTTGAATTTTCTTCAACTTTGAATGAGATGGCCGGGAAAGAATATTTTAATGCTTTTTGGTTTTCCACGACAATATAAATCATAGCTCAGCGACGCTCAAAGTGATTTACGTAAAGCGTTTTTTGTTTCGCGAATTCATGCAGGAATTAACCATTAATTTAAGACAAGTGAACTGAAAAATGTAGAGAAGTTGGTGAAGCAAAGAGATCAAGCCTTAAAGTCTTATTAGAATAGACTGGGAATGTGCATTTTTGTCAGATAGTACGCATTTTGTACAATATGAGAAATTATATTCCTAGTAGGTGGTCCTTGAAACGTCCTTGAAAAATGGTTGCATTTTTTTGCATGAACTCTGATTGGTTGTGTTATTTATTCTTTCTAGCTTCTAATGTTTTGAGCCGTTTTTTTTTTTCCGTTTTATTCAGTTTGTTGGCAGCTCTCACTGTTTAAATAGTTCCTTTCGCGTCTTATGTAGGCCGTGGCCAGATTAACCCCCGCTTAATTTCCACCATCCCAGGGCCACAGACAATTAAGTTCTATCTTTAAACGTTGTTGTTTTAACGAGGTTTTGGGATTACGCAATGACTGCCTGATTTTTTAATATGAATCGAAAAAATGAACACTGACGGGATCGTAGCGCTGGAATTGCGCTGCTTCCACTGTGCATAATTTCGCCATTTGCATATTATCGCTCTTACGGATCATTAGTGTACGAAATAACCTCCTTTTTCGCTTTCTCTTGCAGGAGTGAGCAATATTCTGGAAGTGCTTGACTTACGAAAACGAAAAAAGAATAAAGATGATGAATTATTTCGGGAACTTAGAAATACTGATGCGAAAATCAAGTAAATGAACGCTTCCCTTTGCTTCGGGAGAGACCACAGGCCTTCCAATATCTTCCTCACCCGAAACGGGCAACAGCGCCTTAAATTCTGCGCCGAGTTCCATATTTAAACTTCGTCTCCATGGAAACAAGAGTTGCTTTAGTGCTTACGCAGATTTGAACATTCCTATTTCGTTACGGTCTTAAGCGTTTTTACGTTCCGCTCCCTGGAGACTTTATTTTTATTTTGTATTTGATTTTTTATACGAAATACTGCGGCGAAAAAACTCCCTAGTAATTGTATCTTGATGCATGTGCTTCAGCTGTCTCGAAGTATTGTTCTAGTTGTAAGAAATGTTATCAAATTAAACTCAAGTAATTAGAGAAATGCACGCATTATTAGTTTCTTTGTCCAATCTTTTCTCTATTGTGCAAAGTTTCTCGAGAGAGGACAACACGCGTCCTCGGTCCTCGCGCTAGCCTGCGGACACAGACGTATTTCCGGTCGTCGCTTCTCCGGCTCCACCACCCGGGTGGAGAGAAGCGACGACCGGAAATGCGCTGCTTGCCACTTTGGAGCCCAGTAAGCTGGGACCTGTTTCTCGACAGTCCCGGTATATTTTTGGGCATGGAATCTTGTTTTATGTTTCTTAAGGTCGCATTCAACATCAAAGTTTCAATAATTTTGAAAATGATATAATTAAACTGTCAGTTAGCGAAGCGAAATTGACTGATTTGTGAGCTTAGAGCTGTGCTACCATACTAGTGGGAATAGCGTGAGCAAGGACCTACTCGGTAGACTCGGTAGTAAGAGCTAAAGAAATGAGATTTACATGTACATGTTAGCGCATTTCAGCATCGTTACCAGTGGTTATACAAACCAACGTCAACCCAGGATTTCTTGAGTCCTTTTGGCGAACCTTCAGAGCCCGAAGCGTTATCTATTGTAGCCTGAAAAACGGCCGACATTTCGCGACGCCATCACTGGTTTCGTCTGAGCAACATGCGCCGAAATTCCATACTGATGACGCGTCACTACCCAGATCTGGATAGTGCTTGTAATCGGCTGAAGCAAACTTTCCTCGCGGACCGACCAATCAGAGGCAATACCCAGATCTGGGTAGTTCAGCGCGGCTATTGTGTTAGGCTTTATCAATTGAAGCCCTTTACGGTGTCCTAGCTACTCCCACACGCGGACCATCCGAACTGTTCAAGGCATCGTGATATCATGCTCGACATGTGATCTCCTACATTTACTGTGTTTCGTAACGCCCGCTCTCAGCTTGATTCAAGTGATCGAGAGAAATGGTTCATAAAAAACAGAAGTGTTTCATAAAACACGAACGTTTGCACCTTTTGATCCTAAATTTTCATCTATGGTGAGAATGATGAATAAAGATAACTATGTTTTTAGTCTCATCTTCTGCTAGCCTGAGAAAACAGCCGACATTTGGCGAGGCCACCACTGGTTTCCCCGCCAAATGACGTCTGAGAAACGAGCGCAGAAATTCCATACTGATGACGCGTCACTACCCAGATCTGAGTAGTGCTTCTGATTGGTTGAATCAAATTTCCCACGCGGCACGACCTGATTGTTCAAGTTAACGGCAAAAAAAAGATGGCCCCTCGAAAATTTTGTCCTCGACTGTAAATTTAATGAAAACAAGGATCACCTGGCCTTAACTTTCAACTTTCAACTTTCAACTTTATTTCATAAGACTATTGGTTACAATAGACTGGCCCGCAAAATAGCAATTGCTAATCTAGGCGGACCAGTTAAAAGAAAAATAAATTGAAAGGAAAAGAAAGGAAAGGAAAAGGAAAGAAAAACTACAATTTGAAGTTACAATAAATAATATTCTATCACCGTTTTATTTTAATTACATTAAATCTGAACAAGCAAACAAACAAATACTTTAATATAGAAATCACTAAACTATTAATCGAACTTTTTCAACTATTAAGGGCGTCTCAATATAGTCATCTTCTCTTTTTAAGACATCCGAAAGCAATCTGTGAAGTACTTTCCTAAATTTCTTTTTAGGAAGATCTCTAATATGACAAGGCATCTCATTCCAAAGTTCTACACCAAAGCGAGACAAGGAGTTTTTGCGTATTTCCAGCTTTGAGCTTTTTGACGTGAAAGTTACCCGAACTAGATGATCTTGTATAGTAAGAATGAATTGTTGAGGTTTTTTCAAATAAAATGAGCAGGTTTGTTGGCGAATTGTTGTTGTTAATATCGTGCATTAGATTAGCCACAGTTTTATAATACATAAATGACACTGGTAATATGTCAGCGTCGATAAATAGAGGAATTGCGTGTTCACGTATATCCGTAAAATACATCATGCGAAGCACTTTCTTCTGGAGAATTAAAATTTTATTGAGGGACGTCTTGGATCCCTGACCCCAGGCAGCAAGACCATAGTTTAGGTGAGGGTGGATTAATGTTTGGTAAATATGTAACAGTATATGACGGGGTATGGAGTGCCGAAGTTTTGAAATTAGTCCAACGGTTTTACTGATTTTTGCCGTAACGGCGTCAATGTGATATTTCCAAGTAAGATTTTTATCAATCAACACACCAAGATATTTAATATAATTTTTGGACTCTAGAGTTACATTTCCATTTTTTTCGTTATCGAACATGTAGAGGCTCGGTTGGTAAGTGACTTTTTTTGATAAGGATGAAAGATTACAAAGTTAGTTTTTGTAGTATTGAGAGTTAACTTATTGGATGTTAACCATTCGTGGAGGTTTTGTAATTCGATATTTATTATATTTTCTAGGGACTTTAAGTTTTTGTCGGCATAAAGGATATTAGTATCATCTGCGAAGAGATAAAACTTAAGTTTATTCGAGCATTGATGTATGTCATTAACATACAATAAAAAAAGCAACGGGCCGAGCACAGATCCTTGGGGAATGCCATAACTTACGTTGGCTTTGTTTGAAATGTATGGTCCGATTTGGGTAGATTGCATCCGATTATTCAAATACGAGGAGAACCAATCATTAATAATTCCACGAAAACCATAGTGATTAAGTTTGTCTGGCAAAATGTTATGATAGACAGTATCAAAAGCTTTCTTGAGGTCTATGAAGACTCCGCACGAGAAAAGGCCTTGATTCATATTAATTTGTATTGCGTTTACAATGTCTAATATTGCGTTTACAATGTCTAATATTGCCTTAAATTCCTGAAAAACATCTAGCAATGGTCGCAGGGTTTTTACGTCCACACAAAGGTCCTAAAACAACTCCCCCAAATCATACTAAACACCAATCATCGATTGTCCGGCTCTTAATCATCGAATCGAGTTACTCCGCGGAAGTTGGAGGAGAACAAAAGACGAACGTGACGAACTCGCGCGGGAAACAAACGCTTCTACGCATGCTAACTTAACTCATTTGTAGAAAAAGATTTCTTCAACCACATCTCGTGCTCTTATGGGGCTATGTTAAGCTATTTGTTATCTTTTTAGAAATCTAAAACGCATCAATCAGATTTCAAAATAAGTTGTTAAAGAAATCCCTTCTTGTCGAACTTTCACGGCTATCGGCGACTAACTCCATTGGGATTGTAGTTAGTCCAGATACAGGTTTTGGCAAACATGTATGACGAAAAATCTGTGAACTTCGAAATCAGTAAAATTTGGAAATTTGTTCAATCAAGCTATCGTCTTAAAAATTCGGCGTCGAGATCTCTTAGAATACTGTGAAAGAAATATAATCTGATCAGCCCAGGGGTAATATCAATATAATTTGCAGCCATTAAAAATCAGTCTGTCTGTGTCTCACAGGCAGTTGAGTTCTTAAATTTTCTTTCGCAGTAATAAGTAGTTAGATAATTCAATGATTTGTACAAGACCATAAAGTGTCATTGCTGAATATACTTTATTGCTTACTTTCTGTCCTGATAAAAATATTGAAAATTAAGGTTATTACATAAAAAGGGTTGACAGATTTGACATACAAATAATGTAAGGAAAAACTTGAATTTTACTTTTTTTAACACGCAGCATCCAGCTGAAATTATTTATAACCGAAAAAAGGCAAAAAACGTTATTAGATAAAATAATGAATTTTTTACTCCTCTCTGTTTGTACAGAAAAACTCAAAAATACACAGCCGGAATTGCTTTAATTCTAATATGTTTATATAGATGAGCTATCGTTTCTGAAAGCTGTTCGCTCTACTTTGCTATATACAGTAAAATTAATGTCTTGGTTCGCTGTTTGGCTTTATCCCCTGAACGTGTAAACAGCGACGGATAAACTCAGCAGAGACTAATGATCCGTCCCCGTGCTTGTCCGGGACGTAGCTGAAAGAGAGAAAGAAAAAGGTGTTAGCGTTCTGACGCGCAGTCTTCCATAAGTTTTGACAGCTTCAATGGTTTTCATACCCCTCTGTAGACTCGAATTCCGCTGCTCTCTCGCGCGGGCTTATTTCCCGAACAGCGGCTGGTAATCGAGCCTAACCCCACTGCAGAACCAATCAAAATCCAAGATGTCTGGGAGGCAGATTCCGAGTAATTGGCTGTCGAATATGAAAGGAGTAGAAATGAAACTTGTCAGAACGCAGGACTCCGACTTCGGGACGTCTTGGATTTTGACTGGTTCTGCATCATATAGAACCCATCAATCTATTAAAATACTTGTAGTACGAGGCAAGAAGAGATTCTACAAACTTGTCTAGTAACAACGGTGGCGCAGTGATAAGTATAAGCAATGTTTATTAGTGGACGACCATTTGACTGTCGAACTCTCGAAGGGTTGGGGGAGGGTTGAAACGAAAAAAGTTAATACTTAAGTTGAGTCAATAGTCTTATATTTACAACAAAAATTAGGAAAAACGTGATCACAGGAACAGCCTGGGAAAAAAATTCTAGTTCAAACAAAGTCACCTAACTCCTTCCTCCCTCCCTTGTTAACGAACTACACCGATCTGGAATATTGTTGCGTGAAAACTTGTTATTTAGCCTCCACTTGTAGTTCAAATATCCCAGACCCTTTCATCTCTGGATTAAACAGAGTACTCTTCGGGCAGTTGTTTGTTTCGCAAAAGTGAATTGTTAACGAAACTCCGGTTTCATTTCCAGTCTAATGATCAAGGACTAGAAATCAAAGCGTTTAGGATTAAAGCACTTTTCGTCTAAGAATCTTAACCACGTGATCATCATTCTATCTCAACTCGGTGTGACAATCTTACCTTCATTGGCCAATAATGAGAAATCAAATGTCACGTCATCACCAATCAGCACGAACGGCGCCCATTGCCTCACTTCATTGAATTCACCAGACTCCCGCATCAATTTCATGGCTTGATTGAGAGACTTACTTGCGCTATGGCCTGCAATCAAATGTTCGTAGAAGTTTCTCATAAACTCCATAGTGGCTTTGTCTTCGATTGCCCACAATGACGCAATAACAGAACGGGCACCGGCCCCCAGAAAAGCACGTGCAATACCCACCACTCCTTCAGCACAGATCTTCCCTTTCCCAGTGTGACAGCAGCTTAAGACAACAAGCTTAGCACGCAGCTTTGCCTTCAGCACATCTTCCATTGTCAAGAGAAAGTCCTGCTCTGTGGGTTTTTCGGGACTACCATGATTAGGAGACAAAAGAATTTCACCGGTTTCTGAACGACCATGAGCTGCAATGTGCACTAAGGAAACTGACTCGAGTCTGCTTAATACTCGTTCCTTGGTAGCGTTCTTTCCTGTTAGAGGCTGAACGTTTAGCATTTTTTCAAGCATTTTCACCTCTTTCTCGGCCCAGGGGAGTTGCGCAAACCTTTTCTTTTTCTCGCCTAAGCGAACAGTTTCCACCCATGGATCACCAACAAGCAGTACACCAGATGTGCCATGGCGGTCCTCTGCACACTCTGCCAGCAGCACTAAGCTGGTCACAGATGGAGCCAATCGAATTCTCAGCGTTTCAGACAAATACGTGCAATTCTGGTCCACAAGGGCAGCGTAAGGAATCAAGAATGATGCTCCATCAGGGACAATAACAAGTTCATTACTATTTATCAAGTGTAAAGACGGAGCAATGATGATATCATACAACTTTTTCAATGCATCATCACCCTCTTGTAGTGGAGTTGATTCTTCCTCATTTGTGCTCCTGTCGGATGACTCCTCGATCTCTTCATCTTCTATTCCATCCAAGGAACGATCTTCGCACCTGACAGGTTTACCAACCTTCAATTGTTTATATGCTTTCTCAATCAAACAAACCAAGGACTGATTGGTTTTCTTTCGCACAAACTGCCACTGCTGACCTTTCAATAGCAACCAGAAATTCACTGATTTTTCTGGGACCTCCGCGATAAATATCGTAGGTGATGAAATATGGGTTGAAATGCAGGATATTCTTTCCATCTGCTCCTCCGACGATAAATGAGTCAATTCGACACTGTATCTTGATTTCATGATATCCGTGAGAGCTTGTGCTCGTCCCCGCTCAGCTGTAGAAAGGGCCTCCATGGTCTTGCCCTGGCGTAATTGAAGACACCATAACTTTGTATAAACGCTATATCGATCTCGAAAACTGATTTTCCATTCGTCGTTGTCTTGCAGAAGATCCCTCACTTCTTCTAGCAGTTTGATACTAGATTTAAAATACTCCTCAGCTCTGGAAAAGTCGTCGGGGAATTCCAGAAAAACCATCCCAAGACTTGTGTATGCATGTTGTTCTACTTCTTTGTCTCCAGTCTCTTTTCCGATTCTAAGAGCATACTGATGGAACTCGAATGCCTTTTTGAAATCCCTACGAAAGGCATAGGCTTCACCAAGGCACTCATATGCCGATCCTTCTTTATCTTTATCTCCAGTGTCTTTTGCGATTTTAAGAGACTGCTTTAAGAATTCGAATGCCTTTTCGACGTTACCGAGACGAAGATGAGAACTACCAAGGTGCCGACTTGTGGATGCTTCTAAACATTTGCTTCCAGTATCTTTTGCGATACCAAGAGCCCGCTCAGAGAACTCGATTCCGTTTTGTAACTGCCCGAGAGAGCAGTGAGCAAAACCAAGGGTAAAATACGCTTCTCCTTCTAAATCTTTGCTTTCAGTCTTCCTCGCGATACTAAGAGCAAGCTTACCGAATTCGATTGCTTTTTGATACTGCCCGAGACTGCCATGAGCACCACCAAGGTTTCCATATGCTTTTCCTTTTAACTTTTTGTTTCCAGTCTCTACTGCGATACCGAGAGCCCGCTGAATGAATTCGATTGCTTTTCGGCACTGCCCGAGGGAGTTATAGGTAATGCCAAGGTTTAAATATGATGCTCCTTCTAAATTTTTGTTTCCAGTCTCTTCTACGATACCAAGAGCCCGCTGAAAGAATTCGATTGCTTTTCGGAACTGCCCGAGAGAGTGATAAGCATTGCCAAGGTTTAAATATGCTGTTCCTTCTAAATCTTTGTTTCCAGTCTCTTCTGCGATACCAAGAGCCCGCTGAAAGAATTCGATTGCTTTTTGGGACTGCCCGAGAGAGCTATAACCACTGCCAAGGTTTAAATATGATGATCCTTCTAAATCTTTGTTTCCAGTCTCTTCTACGATACCAAGAGCCCGCTGAAAGAATTCGATTGCTTTTCGGGACTGCCCGAGAGAGTCATAAGCACCGCCGAGGTTTAAATATGCTGTTCCTTCTGAATCTTTGTTCCCAGTCTCTTCTACGATACCAAGAGCCCGCTGAAAGAATTCGATTGCTTTTCGGAACTGCCCGAGATAGAGATAAGCACTGCCAAGATTTAAATATGATTTTCCTTCTAAATCTTTGTTTCCAGTCTCTTCTGCGATACCAAGAGCCCGCTGAAAGAATTCGATTGCTTTTCGGAACTGCCCGAGAGAGTAATAAGCACCGCCAAGGTTTAAATATGCTGTTCCTTCTAAATCTTTGTTTCCAGTCTCTTCTGCGATACCAAGAGCCCGCTGAAAGAATTCGATTGCTTTTTGGGACTGCCAGAGAGAGGTATAAGCACTGCCAAGGATTATACATGCTTTGTATTCCCTATCCCTTTCTTTGTTCTTTTTGGCCTGCTTGAATTCTAACTCAAAATAATCCCGGGCTGCGCTAAAATCACCTCTTTTCAATGCTTTGATTGCAAGGTCATAACTGTCCATGCCATCCTCTTTGAAAGCGCTGCTGTGTAGTCCTTGTTGGCTTTTGCTTTTTTGGAAAGACTAGAAAATTTAAACAATATCTTAATTAACTTCTATCAAACTTTTTAAAAACTTCCGGCGACAGCATGAAAAGTTGTCTATAATCGTCTGCCGTCTAATAATAATAACAATAATGGTCGAGATTATGCAATGGAAGCAAATGTTTTTCTCTCAACATTATCAATACTTCATCAACACAACAGGTTATAAAAATTGATAAATTGAATAATCACCAAAGGGGAAATGCTTAGATCTTTTATCAAATTCTTATAACTAATTCTTTACGGAAACGTATGGAGATCATTCTAGAGAAAATGTGTGTGACATGAAAAAGCTGGTGAGAAAGTATAATGCAAGCTGTAGCTAACTGTTAATTCATAAAAATTCTTGAAGCCCCAAGTTACGACTGTTTTATTATTATTAATAATTTTTTTAACTTAAAATTGCCACCAAAATAGTTTAATTTTCAGGTGTAGCATGGACTAACATAGAGTCGGGGGCTAAAACTTTGAAAGGGTTTTGGGCCCAAATTGTGATCACTTAGTTTCAAGGGAGTTTTTGAAATAGATTCCCAAAGCTACATTGGCACTTAAATACCAAAGCAACTGATATATCGATTGTTCTCGTTGCTCTCTTTGCCTAGTCTGTTCTCGGTCAATGCATTTCGGTGACGTAACCGAGACGAATAACGTTCAGGCATATAATCAAACAAAAACGTTTTTTTTAAAGAAAGTTACCTTGTTGTCGATGACTGTATTTCCTAAACGATTGTTTTCTTTTCCTGCCCATGTTAACGCCTGTTTCCTCAGTTCCAGCAAGGTTTGGTTTTCCTTGTCAATCTTAAAACATTATTAAGGTTTTAACAATGAAACTAGACTTGACCTTGGCCTTCCTCCATGCTTCCTTTACTCAAATTTGAGGTTAGTCAATAACAAGCATGCACATCTCTTTAGAGAATTGACCTTTATCTTTTTCCCTGCTTTTAGTTCCACATATGAACCAAAAATTCGAGAAAACACAGTTCTTTTTGCAACCTAGATCGTAAGGCTACAATCCGGCCATAATTTGTTGAAACACTTCCGGAAAATAAATTTCAAAGAGGAAAGACGGCAAATTGTTGTTGCTCGAAATATCTAAAAGTCGTAACTGTTCTTCAGTGGGATCAGGAGCCTGTGGCGCCTTGTAGGATGCCTAAAAACGATGTACAATTCCATAATTGGTTGCGGCTCCATCAAATCCTATACCAATTGTAGAACATTTTAGGAGGAGCCCCAAAATGTGAAAACAGTCACGGACAACGTATATGAGTAGGAAAACAACCCAAAAAAACTTTAATGCGTTAAATAACGATTTAAACACACCTGTCAATTAAATAATAAAAGAGAGTGTGCGCATATTTTAAAAGTGCCAGTCTCATCTCCTGTAGTGTAGTTTGATACTTATCGATGATAATTCCATGGCGCTTGAATAATTTTTTCAAGGATTTGAGGAGTAGAGTGGATTTTTAAAAAGCTGGGCCGGGTTGTTCGAAGCTGGGTTAAGATAACCCAGGGTTAGTGCTAAATTTGAACTCAGATATGAGAGCTTAAAAATCAAATTCAGTTTAATTCTCTTTGCCTACAATTTCGTGATTGGTTACTCTAAAAAGAATAGAGAAAATTATCCGATAGAGTGCTTTTGGTAAAAAGAAAAAGAAACCCGGTTTGCGCTAACTGGCATTCGAACAATTGGGCAAGGTTGTTTTTCAAGGTTGTTGATTTAGACGTAGAAGAAAGTGGGCAAAGTCTATCAACAAAGTCCACCTTTGACGTGTAGATCCTAGCATATCTCACCAGTTGAGATATATAAACACAAGAGAGGCCCCTTTATCCTCACTTGATAAACACCATAGGCCGGTTTGGTGGGGATGTTGCCGGTCCATTTGCGGAAAATTCAGGATCAGGAATGCAAAGTCAAGATAAAATAAGTCGTTCCACGAATACACGTATTGCTTCCCTCTCCTTCCCCTAATGTTGGTGTCACGGGTTTGCTTACGCATAAAACGTCTTAAAACGGGGGAGGGGAGAAGGGAGGAAGCGTTTCAAGAATTTTAACCGGGAATGTAGAATGATGCGTATAATGAACACGTTGCAACACCTTTTTACAATGGAGTTGAAAAGTATGAACTTAAGGATACTTCTAATCCTCTTTCACACCACGCGATCACGTCTTCAAACATATTCATCTTCAAAGAGGCATTAGCTCCTGAAATATGTAAATATATAATTCAGTAAAACTGTAACATACAGCAAAGCTTTCTCAAATCTGTCATCTCAGGCGTATCCATCCTAGCAGTTTCTGATAAGAAACTAACAAACGCTCGCGGACAACAATATTCTTCTTTTTTTTTTTTTACAAAAACATTGACAGTTATTACCTCCACTTCCCAGCAAAGTTTCTTGGAAAATTATGCGCGGGAGACAGAGGAAAATAAATTGCGGCTAATCACGTCATATTCATTGTCTATACTCTTACTAAATGTGCTGTACGCTTATTGCCATATGCTCTTTTTCAGGCAACCGTAAACATGGACACAATGACTACTACGTTAACTAATAAAGAACCCTGAAATTTTGGCCTCAAAACTCGTTGCATAGCCAAACTATGATATACAAGGGTGTGGTGCTTCCGAGAGGTCCTGGTGATGCGAACTCTTTTCTTTGAACGTAATTACATTATCAAGGTAAACCTAAGAGACTATTGTAGGTATAAAAATCACCTGTTCTTATCGCTCTGAGTGACGATGGCCGTATGTCAGTGGCATCTTTTGCATCTCTCAGTGAGTCACTGTAATTTACTTTAAAAAATATTGGAAAAACAAACCCAAACACAGTCACAACAGGTGCGGCAAGGTAATCACAATTTAAAGCAAATACAATCGGTTAATGCGAGATAGTTTTCGCAAGTGTAAAAAAAAACTGGGAAAGCCCTCAACACAGTTCCATGCGAGGAGACTCTGCCGTGAGGTCCAACCCCTTACGCTTTTATCTACCATTTTTGACAGATAAGGTACCCTCGTCGTATACCTTCCATTGAAAAATAACGCCTAAAATATCGTGTGCCTTTTCGAAATAATCAAAAGATAGATTTTTCTACCCTTCCATATAATTAACTCGTGAATTCCCCTCTCTTTCATATACTTAAGCCTGAAAAGGATACCCCTTTCGGGCGGAGCTTCCATGTATAGAGAATACCCCCCTCCCCCCGGATGTCGTAGTTGCCAACGAGGCAACCGAGCTAAGAAGCGAGGTTGACTCGGCGGCAGAGTTATAACGTCGCGCAATGTAGGCAAAAACTCTCAAATTCTGCGTAACCATCTAGAATTTGCATTTTTGACCATATTTGGGTGTAAGTAAGACCCCATATTTGGGTAGTGACGTCATAGTCTTGTACTTACAACTCGTGGTTCGAGATTGGGTGATTCAGTGTGCAGCAGTTCGTTGTCTGTTAAAGAGGACCTAACTGGTGAGCAAGCTTTAATACGATTTCTAGTTTGAAAGGGCAGTTAGTGCTCTGGTTTGCTTTATAAATTGTGTTTAAAGCAGCAGCTGATCAAGGAATAGGGTTTTATGCTCAAATTTTTGTCAGAACTAGCTTGTTCTTTGCAGTTCGACTTATATTGAGGTAGCGTGTTCGCTTCTCGACTCAGAACCAGGGTTTTCAGTGTTCTCTTTTCCTTTGTGAACTGAATTTTAAGCGGTGGTTGATCAAGGCATAGGGTTATATTCTCAAAACTTATATCACAACCAGCGTGTTCTTCGCAGGTCGATTTACATTGAGCCGGTCCTCACCTCCCGTGAGGAATGCAACGTATTTGGGGACCTTTTGTTTAAAATTTATTTATGTTTTTCGAGAGATGTTGTCAAACAGCATGTTTTTTTGCTGCTCGATTTACATTGAGACAGCCCAAAACTTCCGTGAGGAATGCAACGAATTTGCGGACCTTTTGTTTTTCAGACTATCATTATGCCTTTCAAGAGACTCTTTGTCCTGTGACACTCGCTCATTAGATCTTTGTATTTTATTCAAGTTTATAGTTTTATACCTCTAATATATTCCGCCCCATTCTTGCGCCCTTTTCACACATTTTACTTTGCACCAATATTTGTCTTATGTATATTACCACGCAAAATATTTTTATCCCTGATGACGCTGTTGCTCGGAATTTAATTATTAGTTTTATTTTCAGCAGTCAAAGGCCTCATTTGAACTATATTTTTCTTTCTAACGTTTAAAGCTTTGATACAATGGAATTTTCCATGAAACATAAGTGCTAACTTGCTCATATTTACCAACAAAGCTTCAAGCCTTGTTATTGTTTAATAAAAGTGAAAGTTTAGAATGTACAAATGTTGTTGTTTTAAAGTTGGGTGCTATCCTTTTCTATATCCGAATCTATTTTAAACCTCTAAAATTATGAAAGAAGATCTGAATAGGCACATTCCACAAAAGATAAACCAGTGCGCCTCGTTGGCACTTGCCGGAAGGTACCCCTAGTGTAATGAATAACTAGTATATTTTGTAATTTTGAATTATTTGGAAAACGTTGATGAACCATGCTGGTATAAGAATTCAAATAAAATATTGTCTTGTCTTGTCAGCAGGCCGAGTCAATCGATCAAACAACACGTTATGTTCGTTTTTGTATCAAAACAACAGTGAGAGCTTTGAACAAGCAAAACACCTGATAGCAATTAATTGAAAGTCCTACAAGTATGAAAACTTCTAAATCCTGGAAAATACAAATAGCCTCACCCAGACAAAGGTATGCATGTGCTCTGTTACTGTACAGTTCAGCCATCAGATCCTTGTCCTTGCAGTTCACTTTAATCCCCTCAGTGTAAAAGTAAACGGCGCTGCTGTAGTCTTTTTTGTCGTATGCTTCACTACCGTCATCATTGTAAACCTGTGCAATTGCTGAAAGTGAAGCAAATTGAAGTATCGTTAATAACACGTGTTAAACTACCTTCAAGCATTCTACCTTTTATTTAGTGTTTGCTCATAGTGTGAGTAGAAGAAGAGAGAGTAAGATTCAATTAGTCATTTGCTCACTTGCCGCTAATTTTTTATGAATTTTCAGCTTGTTTCATTCTCCTGATCTGGTTCGGTTTGTGTATTTTGCCTTGGTTGTTCTCGGTAGCCTCAAGCAATCTTTCGCCCAGTTGCGATTCTAAAGTTACAGTCAACAGACCCTTTCACGGTTTTTTTCAATCAAAATTAGTAAAATTGCCAAGTTTGATAGTGATTTGTTGAAAACTAACGAAGATATAGCACCGCCGCAAAGTCGTGAAATTTTACAGACGTTTGTATGGTGGGGGGCACAAATTTGCCCCCTTCCCCCACAACTATACAAACGTCTGTAAAATTTCGTGACTTTGCGGAGCTGACAATTTTACTAATTTTAAAACGCTCCTTCCAGTGTTGTCGACAGATTTTCCCTGACTTGTTGAACTCGTGGAAAGGTCTATTCAGAACCGATAAGCAAATAAAGTTTAATGTTCACATGTTTTTTAAAGATTATTTTGTTTCGAATGTAATCAAGTTTTCGTTTCAGGTAATCAAGATTGCATTTAAGGGCCCAGTGACCTATCTTTTGAAGCCGTTGCTAGGGAAAAATTTTGGTGGTGTAGCTTGGACTCCTTTCGTAATTTCAACTTGGCAAGCAAAATCCTTTTTCGACGGAATGGACCAGCGCGCCTTAGAAATTTCCAAGCAATGTCTTTTCCTCTTCAGTACCTTTCGGCCCGTCATGTTTTCATCTTGCTTTTTGTTGTTTCCGTTTTGTTTTGGTCTTTTTTCAGCTTTGTCAGTTTTAGTCCATGGGCCAAGTGGCTTTTCATTACCACTAGGGGGGACAAAGGCTACCATATATCAAATTAAAGCTTATCATGTGTAGATTTCAAAAATATATGATGGAAATGTTGTAAGAGTAGCTTAAGGGAGTCACGTGACCTTGAATTTTGCATAATTAGCATAAATTGATAATATACTAAAATGCGGCTTTTAGCAAGTAAGGCTGTAGATTCTGCATAAAATAAAGCAGGCATAGATAACACATAATGTCTGTAAAGTATTTTGTCACTTTTAAGGATAAATAGTCACGTGGCAGTGACGTCACTTCCGGTCACGGTAAAAAACTCAATTTTTGTCTATATTTTTACTTTTTCCCCTTTTTTCTTTTATGTGATTCGAAAACACAATTCAGAGTATTTTTACCATAAAAAGCACTAAAAGATATAGTAATTAGCATTATTCTAAATGTACGTTCAAATAAGAATTAAACTGGGTACGCTGTGTTCTTTGCATGATAAGTGTTTCTCATGGGTAGGTGATATGCTGAAACTGTTACACCCACACTCAAGAGACTTCAGTCAAAGTCAACGTGCTCTTCATCCAGGTCTACCTGGATGTCCTCCTCTTCATCTGGCTGGTTAGAACAAGTTATTAGGCGGCAGAGGCCGGAGCACTTTAAGCCATTTCGAATGCAGTCACATGAATCATCATTACAGGCCTTCTTGCACATACATGACATAAGCTCTATTACAGCTGTTGGTGCCGGGAGTCCACTCATCCAATCTATCACCAATCTCTCTTGAGCTCCGTCATTTACAAGAGACCAGCCATGACCAACTGGGGATGGAATATCGTTGTTTCGTAGGGAATTTTTCCATATCGCCGCTTGATAGTTGGCTCGCCGGCAATGCTTGTACAAGCTGTCTTGGCATGGAGGCAGCTGATGGGATTCCGCTTCACCTGAATGAATATATGAATATATATCATAGGTACGGGGCGGGAAAACATTTACATTTACATTTACATTTATCGCTGAATTTATTTCTTTGTTATCGTGATCTAATTTCTTAATATTATGCCGATAGCTAGGAGTCTCCGATTAGCGAACTTCGTATCACACTTTAATAAAGTTTATTATTATTATAATTATAATAATTATTATTATTATTACCTTTCTTTGCACAGAAGACCGAATATCTGCATTGATTCACGTCTGAGATACCGTTCTTTGAGCCATACATATCACAGACAAAAGCCTCCAACTGCATCAGAAGATCTTCAGACATCAACCAGTTTTCTCCAAGTTGCTGGAACGTGCGTTGGTATTCCTTTTTCCTCAGTAACCTCTTCAGGGGCTTCACTTTCCCAATCCCTGCAAAGGCACTCACTGCACCACAACCCGTAAATGCGTGCAAACCTGGTGGTGCTTTGCACGCATCCTGGCCAATGACGTGGGCTATTTTTCCAATGTCGACATACCGAGCGTTCCGTTGAGAAACACAACGCTGATTTATCGGTACATCAATGGAAAATGAAAACGCTAGGCACAGGATTCTAACGTCTGTGTCTTCCGAGGATACAATGATTGACCTATATCGCTGCTCATTTGCTGCATGTTGCACATGCAGGAGAAGTCGTGTATCAGCCTCCTCTTGTTCGGATCTTAGCTCTTCTTCTTCTTCTACTCTCTCGGCAGTGATCTTGTAGCATCGGTTTCCACATGTTACATACAGCTCCTTGTCTTCCAGTCTCTTGCGACCCGGTGTTTTTTGCCAGTGTTCCACAACAAATCTGATAAGACTTGTTTTGTTGTCACCATTGCGTAAAAAATTCTTGAATTGCTTGACCTTCTGGCCAGCCGCAAGGTTCTTGAAAGTTATTGCATCACTTTCACCTCTGAGTTCTCTTTCTGCTGATTTAATGGAAATGTCTCTGTACACGTCAAATACGACATCCACTCTATCGCTACCCTCCGCCTCACGCAACACTCTAGATAAAATATTGTCTGCGATCTCACCAAATGTGAGATAATCTACCTTCAGCTTTTGGACCAGAGCCATCCCATCTATTAGGTAAGCTGAAGGCCTTGTTACTTCTACCGTTGGCTGTATCAGTTTCTCTAATTCTTTGCCAAGTTGTGCCTTATTGGTCTTGCGGGGAAAGCCATTGTTGCAGGCCAGGGAAGCAGGAAGAGGGCCTAATGGGTGCTTTAACACATCTTGCATTTGCAGATTGCGGCTTTCAGCAATTATGATCATCCGCGCAAACAAATTTAGATCAGCGCGCAGAACAGTTTAGATAAAAGATAGATAAAGCACTGAAGGTTTTCAGCTTTTGCTTCTTCAATTTGTCATTGAACCTTACCGTTGGGGGCTGTGATTCGAGACGGGTCTTCTTGAAATCAGCGTAAACTGCCTCTCCAACTTTATAGGCGGTCGCAAGGTCCTCTGCCTTAGCAGTAGTGGCAACAGCTCCTGTTGAGATGCTGGACAGTTGCATATGACCTGCAAATGGATCTGTCCAGTTCTTGATTAAATAAACCATTGCGGCAACATCTTTCTCATCTTGGGCAATGCGAGACGAGTGAAAGTCAGCATGGCCGTGCTTCCCTTTGGCATAGCCAACCATTTCGCGCAAACTGCGCAAGAACAAAGTTCTGAATTCTGTCGTCAAGTAGTGCCTTTGTACGGCTCCAGGTTTTAAACTAAAGCCCTTAGTACCCCCAGGTGTTTGGGTATCTCTATTTACGGTTTCTTCAAGAGTCTGGTCAAAGGGAATTCTTCCAAATGTATTGTCGTTGCTCAACTGAACTGAAAATCCACCATTTCTCATGAACTCGTGTACCTCAGGGTGCTCATCTGGTAGACTTGTCATATCGCTATAATAAGCTGACATGTATCTTGCGTAGTTGATAGCATCGTAGCAAAAGCACCATGTGAGCATCTGGCGGACTCAGGAGAGATGGAGTTCCCAATTTCCTTCTCTAGAAGCACGGATCATGTGAAGTAGTAGCTCGATCATGTCTATATAGGACATCTAGAATTCTGAAAGGGGGCCATTGGTATTCCGAAGATGAAGAGTGTATTCAGCAAAAAGGTCAGAAAATCTCTGGAAAACTCGGCTCTTGAAAACCTCATCGTCTCTTTCTTTAGACAGTTCACCAGCTAGTGTACCAATTTCATCAAGACATGTTTTTACTTGACGACTGTCCGCTGGGTGTGAATCGTCAAGCCAAGGATAAAATCCTTTCAATGCCACCCTCATGAATGCTTCGTAAGCCAGTTTGTGCACACGAACACCCCTGTTATAGTTTAGGCCCTCCAGAACTGCAGACACGGATCCCTCAGCCACTACCCCAGCTTCAATGAATAAGTCCTTTAGACCAGCATGCAGAAACCTTTTACCGATGATAGAGATCAATGTACCAAGGGTATGAAAAGTTCCAAGACTTAGAACTATGGGCTTGAACTTCTCATACTCCTTGCACTTCACCTCAAACGGCCTTGGCATAGATGGCCTGATCGAAAACACATATGATGCTTGTGAGATGGAGCGAGCGCATGATAGTGAGTGATCGGTTGAGGGCTTCGTTGACGGTGGAAACATCAGTGGCTGGTGCATTAATGGTCCGCAAATAGCCTACATTATTGGGAATGATGGCGTCTTTGTCGTGAACCATGATGTTAAACCCAGTCCAGCTGCTGACCTTTTGTTGGTGGGCTCATAATGTAAACGAGCAAGGATGAGCAGCAGATTCTTCTTTGTAAATTCTTTAAGAATTGTTTCGCCATCAACCTCCCTCACTTTTCTTGGTGGGGGCCCAACTCGCTTGCCGACATTGTAGATGGGGAGAGGCTCTTCTGGGGCAGAGAGTGATCTTTTCTTTGTCTTGTCCACCTTGGGGACCACTATTTTCTGATTAGGGCCGTAAGTAACAGGCTGAACGGCGATAGCATTAACACGATGCGATGTCCCACCTCCGGACAGGGTTCCTTCGAGCCTATCAATATTGTCAAAGGCGAGGACAGTATTTTTACCTGGGTATATGTTGCTTGGGAGAGGGACGCCGTCTTCAGGTGTCATGGCAAGTTTTTGTAGGCACAGGGCTGTATCAACCTCTTCGAGTTGAGAATATGATATACCGTGCCCAAGACGGTTTAGAATTTGTATAAGCTCAACATTACCTGAAATAGATTGAAAGTTTAATCCTGAATAAATTGCAGCCACTTGTAAAAACATTTATAATAAATTTTATAATAATGAAACACCTGTTAGCGATTTGACTGACGAGGGTAACAGAATGTGTTTTGCAGGCTTGTATCGACCACGGGTTATACCAAACATAAGGTCTTGACCAACAGAACTGCTAAGCCTGGACATGCGTTCACCGAGCTCTTGATCATCGCCACCCAGAACGTACCGAAGAAAGGTTGCCACTAGAGTTGGGGCGTCACTGTTTTCCTGGGTGATATTGGAGGGATCTGGGAGCCACTCTTATTTAGCGCACTGTTGTTTTACAGACTGCCTAATCTCACTAGCTACATCTTTTAAACTTTCGCCAATGTGTAAACGAGAGGCCCTTAAAACGTTTACTTCCTTTTGTAGGCGATGGTTTGATAAGACTAGCTGATCCCGTGTGAGGCTATCTGGGTAGACGATAACTTTGTTAGATTCATTTTGAATCAAGTGTAAGGAATCTCCAAATTCAACACTAAGTTTTCTTCTTAAGTGAGTTATTGTTGATGGCTTGATTTCTATTACCCCAGATTCCAACATCCACCCTCTAAGCATATCACTTAATTGTGCAAGCTCTATTATATTATTGCTCTGAAATAATTCATTCCTTATATAATCGCATAATCTAGAAAATGCGTTGAATTCCGCCTCAGTATAACTCTCAGGAAGTTCTTCAGTATCTGTTGTATTCACAGATTTGCTGTTTGTCCTTGTATAATTCTTGTAGCAGGAATGGTGCCAGTGAGCTTCGGCTGTAACCAGCTCTCGGCTTGCCAGGGCCAGGATTCTCTTGTCATGCTTTATTTCTGCAGCTTTTCTCACTGTATCATCGACTCTGAGTTGTCTGGCTTGTGTTAAGCCCTCCCCTGATTTTGAACCTTTAACAAACTTCTCTTTCTTTTCACAAAAGATGCACTGTTTCTCGTACACCCGGGAGCTGGAAGTACTTGGCTTTCCTTAAATAAATTGATGTTTTGATAATTTTATTAAGAATTTTACTTTTCATAGCAGAATACAAACAAGATATTGATATAGATAACTATAACTATAACTAAAATTCTGCAATACTGAAACTTTTCTTTCCATACACAACTACTCTATGATTATCTTATTTCCTTAAGATTCTTTCTTTTTATTTAGCCGAACGAGCATCCCACCTTGTCTTATAGATGATCTCCTCTCTAGATGACTCGTCTCCACCTCCACCTCCTTCTCTTTTCCATCATTCTTACTCTTTGTAATTCGATCTAAGTCATGTTTGTGTGTAAACGTGCTTCGACATTTGCGATGGTAAAATACTCATTCGGGATTAGGTCATCGGCAACCTGTACACTAAGAATGCCTTCGTGATCTCGGATTTGACCAGCTTTTTGCAACGTTTTCCATGAGTCAAGAGAATTTGGACTGATTAACGTTGTGTTGTCATCAGTACAATGTATTATGCAATAAGGCTCAGTTCTTTGTCTTTTACGAGGTATGCTTGAATCCATATTTGTTCACATCTTTGAGGACTGTAATTACCACAAAAATAAGATGGCTTCCCTGTACATTTGCGCCCAGTCTTTTGCAAGAGTAACGCCACAGGCTCACTATACCGGTGAAAAATCGCTCGATGATAAATCATGCATTTTGTAATAACACTACTTATATTATCTTTTACTGCTTTTCATATGTTATAAAATGTACTTTTGAATCACCTAACCGGAAGAAGCCAAAAAAAAACAAAAATAGGAAAAATATACAAAAAATGGAGGGTTTACCGCGACCGGAAGTGACGTCACTGTCACGTGACTATTTATCCTTAAAAGTGACAAAATACTTTACAGACATTATATCTTATCTATGCCTGCTTTTTTTTATGCAGAATCTACAGAATTACTTACTACAGCCGCATTTTAGTATATTATCAATTTATGCTAATTATGCAAAATTCAAGGTCACGTGACTCCTTTAAGCTACTCTTACAACATTTCCATCATACATTTTTGAAATCTACACACGATAAGCTTTAGTTTGATATTTGGTGGCCTTCGTCCCCCCAAGTGGTAACGATCCGCCATTTTTAGCCACTTGGCCCATGGACTATTTGTTTTGTTTTTCTTTTCCTTTTGTTTACTTTTCCATATTTTCAAACCCGGGGTGACATGCTTCATTGTTTGAAAGTGGCAATTTTGCAAAATGTTTTCAAATTTGTCGGGCTCGCGCACTTATGATTTGCTGCGCGTGGCGTTTGCTAAAAATAATGACGCCATCGACCGGAAGTGAAATTGCACGTCCATAGCAACGCGCGAGATCACGCGAAAGATAGGTCACTGGGCCCTTAAAAGAACCAAGATTTTTTTCGAAGTAACAAAATCCGTGTTTCAAAGAATCAAGCTTTTAATTGGTGTATATTGAGATTATCATTGGGTCACATCAGTAATTGTTACGTCATTAATAGGGGACTTAATATTGGCGTTTATAGTTTTATGGCTTTACTGCATTAAGATTGGCGCTTTTTTCGGGATTTGTCCTCTTCAAATTTATGGTTTTACAGGAGAATTCCCTTTCGACGGTTTTCTTTTTTTGTTTTTTAGTGTACTCAGTTTTATCAAGAGCTTTAATAGCTCTCGGTTTTATTTTTAAAAAATGTTTTTGTGGGTTTTCATATTAGTTACCGTATTGTTGGTAACAAGAACAACAACTCTTCAAGTAAATACCGCGATGTGTACCACTAATTCACCGTTCATTACTTTGCATGAACATCTGCAAATTATTTACAAACTATAGTAAGATTTGATTGCCGTTTTTGACTGCCAGGCTCTGTGGGTTTTCGGTTTCCACCGACTTTTATTGTGGTTTTTCACCTTTCGTCCATTTTTTGTTTAGTTCATTTTGTTTTTGCTTTGTTTTCTTTTGTTTTTGGCTTTTAGCGGGCCTCAATAGCTGGATTCATTGGTGGTATGTGAGTTATTAGTTATCGCATTTCTCACTGCAGTTTTTTGGATTAATTATTTGTGGTTTCTGGAATTCGATTGCTTTTTGGAACTGCCCGAGGGAGCCATAAGCACTACCAAGGTTCAAACATGCTTTGTAATCCCTATCCATTTCTTTGTTCTTTTTGGTCTGCTTGAATTCTAACTCAAAATAATCCCGGGCTGCTCTAAAATCACCTCTTTTCAATGCTTTGATTGCAAGGTCATAACTGTCCATGCCATCCTCTTTGAAAGCGCTGCTGTGTAGTCCTTGTTGGCTTTTGCTTTTTTGGAAAGACTAGAAAATTTAAACAATATCTTAATTAATTTCTCTAAAACGTTTTAAAAACTTCCGGTGACACTATTAAAAGCTGTCTATTATGCAATGGAAGCAAATTTTTTTCTCTCAACATTATCAATACTTAATCAAGACAACAGGTTATAAAAATTGATAACATGAGTAATCACCAAAGGGGAAATGCTTAGATCTTTTATCAAATTCTTATAACTAGTTCTTTACGGAAACGTATGGAGATCATTCTAGAGAATGTGTGTGACATGAAAAGGCTGGTGAGAAAGTATAATGCAAGCTGTAGCTTACTGTTAATTCATAAAAATTCTTGAAGTCCCAAGTTGCGACTGTTTTATTATTATTATTATTAATTTTTTTTCCAACTTAAAATTGCTCCCAAAATAGTTTGATTTTCAGGTGTACCGTGGAGTAACATGCATAGAGTCACGGGCTAAAACTTTGAAAGGGTTTTGGGCCCAAATTGTGATCACTTAGTTTCAAGGAAATTTTTGAAATAGATTCCCAAAGCTACATTGGCACTTAAATACCAAAGCAACTGATATATCGATTGTTCTCGTTGCTTTCTTTGCCTAGTCTGTTCTCGGTCAATGTATTTCGGTGACGTAACCGAGACGAATAACGTTCAGACTCGCTCGAACTCGTCGGTACCACGTGACCTGAAACGCATTGGCAGCGCGGAATAATGAGGCCCGGGGACTAGGTAAATGTTGTCTTATGTTTGTATTTACGTCTCGTACGAAAAACGGGCCACGACGTCTTCCAAAGATTGTAGCCAGTATCAATTCATTCAAACCGTTCTCAAATGTAACTTAGACAGCAAGTTGTATTTTCAGTTAACATGATAAAAAAAATACCCTTTTTGTCGTAAGCCTTATTGACTTCCATGGGCTCCCTTAGCTCATCTATCTGAACCCTCTGCTCGATTTATTAACGTCATATTAGTAAATTACATCTGCGGAAGCTTATTAGAGAATGACGATTGATCTTCATGTGTGCTTAAACTCCAGCCAAAAGATATGACTAAATCCGCCACACCAATCGCCTTAACAAAGTTTTCCCTTGACTAAACTCAGCTGTGTCAAATATGAAGAGAATTCCTATATGGCAGACAATCAAACAAAAACGTTTATTTTAAAGAAAGACACCTTGTTGTCGATGACTGTATTTCCTAAAGCAGTGTTTTCTTTTTCTGCGCATGTTAACGCAAGTTCCCTCAGTTCCAGCAAGGTTTGGTTTTCCTTATCAATCTTAAAAATTGTTAAGGCGTTAACAATGAAACTAGACTTGACCTTGGCCTTCCTCCATGCTTCCTTTACTCAAAAGAGAGGTTAGTGTATAACAGGCTATGTACATCTATGTTTAGAAAAGTGACTTATCTTTTTCCTGCTTTTACTTCCACATATGAATCAAAGAAGGCGAGAAAACACACAGTTCTTTTTGCAACCTGGATCGTAAGGAAGGAAGGGGTGAAGAAATTCGCAAGCATTTTAACATTATTTTATAACCGGGAATGTATGGTGATGAGTATAGTACGCTGCAACACCTTCTTACTATGGACTTAAAAAGTATGAACATAAGGATACTTCTAATCCTCTTTCACACCACGCGATCACCTTTTCAGACATATTCATCTTCAAAGAGGCTTTAGCTCCTGAAATATGTAAATATATAATTCAGTAAAACTGCAGCATACAGTAAAGCTCCCTCAAATCTGGCATCCCTTGGGCGTATCCATCAGTTTCTGATAAGAAATTAACAAACGTTCGCGGACAACAATTTTCCATGGTCAACACTGCTATGAACCATAGCAGGAACCCATGACTACTGTGGGTTCCTGACCATAGAAGTGACCTCACAACGTTCAAAACTCAAGTGAAATCACGAGCCGCAGATGGGTGGTTTCACTCCAAAGTTTTGAACACTTTGTTCACGTCATTTCTAATAGTCCATAGGAGTGCGCACCATCAAATTGCTGTCTATTTGGCTTTTTTTACAATAACATTAACAATTATTAGGTCCACTTTCCGGCAAAGTTTCTTGGAAAATCGAGCCCAAGAGATAGAGAAAAACAAATTGCGTCTGATTTCTTTTGTCTATACTCTTACTAATAAATACGCTATACGCTTTATATTCTCTTATTCAAGCAACCGTAAACATGGACACTATAACTACCACGTTGAGACTAAAACTAATCAAACCCCTAAAGTTCAGTCTCAAAAATCTTTCTAAAACCAAACCATGAAATACGCAAGGGTGCTGTGTCTCAGATCCTGGTGATCTTTGAACGTAATGACATTATCACGGTAAGCCTATCACTGTTTCTAAACGAGACTAGGGTAACATTACAATTACCTGTTACCATGGCTTTTACCAACAATGGTCGTATGTCAGTGGCATCTTTTGCATCCCTCAGTGAGTCACTGTAATTTCCTTTAAAATTAATGTGTAAATAAAAAACAAACCCAAAATAAGTCACAACAGGTGCGGCAAGTCAAAACAAAATTCAAAGCAAATAAAATCGGTTAATGCGGGTTAGCCTTCGTAAGTATGAAAAAGAGAAACTGGGAAATCTCTCAACAAAGTTCCATACGAGAGGGCTCCGACCCGAGGTCCGGCCGGCCGGCCCCTTACCCTAACACAAAAGGTAGACCTTTTCCTTCCATTGAAAAATAGTACCCCTTCAACATACAAAGAATATGTTTACTTAGTGACTGAAAGTCGTCTTGGCAGCAATAAATTGAAATGACCTAGCCGATGATAACGCTGGTTTCATCGAAACGATCAAATGATAAAGTCATGTTTCTACCCCTCTACATAATTAATTCGCAAATTCTTTTCTATTTGATATACCTGGAGCCTGAAAAAATCCCCCCTTTCGGGCGGAGCTTCCATGTATAGGGAATGCCCCCACCCCCGCGTATCGTAGTGTAATGAATCAATGACCAGTATATTTTGTAATTTTGAATCATTTGGAAATTCAAAACGTTTATGAACTAGCTTGTATAAGACTCCAAATAAAATATTCTTTTCTTTTCTTGCGTTGTCAACAGGCCTGGTCAATAAATCAAACAACACCTTATCAGTGTTCCTTTCTGTATCGAAACAACAGTGGGGGCTTTGAACAAGCACAACACCTGATAGCAATTAATTGAAAGTCCTACAAGTACGCAACCTACTAAACCGTGGAAAATATAAACAGCCTCACCCAAAAAAAGGTGTGCATGTGCTCTGTTGCTGTACAGCTCAGCCATCAGATCCTTGTCCTTGCAGTTCACTTTAATCCCCTCAGTATAAAAGTAAACGGCGTAGCTGTAGTCTCTTTTGTCGCAACCTTTACTGCCTTCATCATTGAAAACCTCTGCAATTCCTGAAAATGAAGCAAATTGAAGTATCTTTAATAGTACGTGTTGAACGTGTTGATATTTTACCGTACTACCTTCAACCATTCTACATTTTATTTTTAGCTTATGGTGTGAGTAGAAGAAGAGAGAGGTAGATTCAATCAGTCAGTTGCTCACTTGCCGCTAATTTTTATGAATTTTTCAGCTTGTTTCATTCTCCTGATCTGGTTCGGTCTGTTTATTTTGCATTGGTTGGTTGTTCCAGGTAGTTTTTCGCCCAGTTGCGATTCTAAAGTTACAGTCAACAAACCCTTTCACGGTTTTTTCAATCAAAATTAGTGAAATTGCCAAGTTTGATAGTGATTTGTTGAAAATTAAACCAACTAAGATATAGGTGCACCACAAAGTCGTGAAATTTTACAGACGTTTGTATGTGCCCTATACTATACAAACGTCTGTAAAATTTAACGACTTTGCGGAGCTGACAATTTTACTAATTTTAAGACGCTCCTGTCCTGCTCCATGTTGTCGACAGATTTTCCCTAACTTGTTGAACAAGTGGAAAGGTCTATTCAGAACCGATATGCAAATAAAGTTTAATGTTGACTTGTATCCCAAAGATTATTTTGTTTCGAATGTAATCAAGCTTTCGTTTCAGGTAATCAAGATTGCATTTAAAAGAATCAAGATTTTTTGTCGAAGTATCAAGTTTAGCGTTTCAAAGAATCAAGTTTTTCATTGGTGTATATTGAGATTATCATTGGGTCACATCAGTAATTGTCACGTCATTAATAGGGGACTTCATATTGGCGCTTTTTTTGGGATTCGTCCTCTTCAAATTATGGTTTTACAGGAGAATTCCCTTTTGGCGGTTTTCTTTTTTTGTTTTTTAGTGTACTCAGTTTTATCAAGAGCTATAATGACTCTCGGTTTTATTTTTGAAAAAATGTTTTGGGGGTTTCCATATTAGTTACCGTATTGTTGGTAACAAGAACAACAACTCTTCAAGTAAATACCACGATGTGTACCACTAGTGCACCGTTCATTACTTTGCATGAACATCTGCAAATTATTTAAAAACTGTAGTAAGATTTGATTGCCGTTTTTGACTGCCAGGCTCTGTGGGTTTTCGGTTTCCATCGATTTTTATTGTGGTTTTTCACTTTTCGCCCTTTTTTTGTTTAGTTTATTTTGTTATTGTTCTTTGCAGTATTTTGGATTGATTAATAGGGGTTTCTGGGTAACTGCCCACCAACCCCTTCCCTAAGTTAACAGTAACACTACTTTTCACTTAGTGCAAAATTGTAACTTAGGGGAGGGGTAGGTGGTCACCATTCATTTATTTATTTATTGAGCTTGAAAACAATAAAATCTCAGTGCCAAAGAGGAAAATGCAAACGCTCTACGCGTTGCGTTTTGGGTGAAATCGGGTTGAACTGGAAATTAAAAAAAGGTTGGGCAAATGTACATGCTTAAACCAGTTAGTCCCCTAATGCAAGGTCAGAGGCACCTTCTCGTACTGGTTAACTATCTGGTCTTTGCCTTTTTACTGTAGTTTTTCACTTTAAGTTCAACAATAATTTCAAATATTCCTCCTCATTTTTAATCACTGAAAACGTTCGAAAAGTCAACAAAAAATTTCTTAAACATTTATTGAACCAATGACTGCAACCTTATTGTGTCAGTTTTCTATGAATGAAATATTAGCTAGATTTTTGGGAAAAAGGAAATGAATAAACAACAAGGCTTTCAACCAGAATCATCCGTTAAAGTAACTATTTTAAAATCATCCAACAAAAAGTCCATCAAAATCTCTTTAAGGTTTTCCCGTTGTTACGTAATTCCTTTTCTCCTTGAGGGAGCTTAAGTAACGACGACGGCGAGGGCTACAAAAAAGTCACTGACAAAGTGAAGCCTGACTTCATTGCACTTATTCCATCTCGTTCAATTCGTCAAATGCTGGCGATTTTTTCTGGAGTTGAATTCTAAAAGAGTGTACCGAACTTCAAGAAAAGAAAAACATGGTCGTTCTTTTGTGTTCACGTCCGTCGCGTAGAATTCCCGGTCCATTGAGGTCAACAAAAAATTTCCCTTTCGGGTGGGGGCTAGTATTTTGCTGTTTCTATCCGTGACACTTCTAAATGAAGCATACAAGAGATAAAAACAACAAAACGGTCAAGGAGAACTGGAAACAAGTAATAAATGTCGTTCTTTTGTGTTCACGTCAGGCTCCACAGTACCTGAAAACAGGCATTCAGTTCACGTCATAGTCATCCAGTAACCGCAAAGAAATGTACAAAAAAGCGTGATGCACGTGCAGAGTTGTTGTTTTGCCAATCTAAATCTATTGTTTTTTACTGTAACGGCAAAGAAATGTACAAAAAAGCGTGATGCACGTGCAGAGTTGTTGTTTTGCCAATCTAAATCTATTGTTTTTTACTGTAACGGCAAAGAAATGTACAAAAAAGCGTGATGCACGTGCAGAGTTGTTGTTTTGCCAATCTAAATCTATTGTTTTTGACTGTAACGGCAAAGAAATGTACAAAAAAGCGTGATGCACGTGCAGAGTTGTTATTTTGCCAATCTAAATCTATTGTTTTTGACTGTAACGGCAAAGAAATGTACAAAAAAGCGCAATGCACGTGCAGAGTTGTTGTTTTGCCAATCTAAATCTATTGTTTTTGACTGTACCGGCAAAGAAATGTACAAAAAAGCGTGATGCACGTGCAGAGTTGTTATTTTGCCAATCTAAATCTATTGCTGTTTTGCCGTTCTCGTTGACGACGCCTTCGTCGTTACTTAAGCTTCCTCAGATTGTTCATCAACCATCTTACTTTATTAGTCCACATCTTTCAGTGAGATTCAATTTCTGTTCTTTAGTTGTAGCAGCGTTGACCAAGAAATGAAATGAATCTTTTTCATTTTGCTGCCTTATTTTGTTTACGTTTTTTTTGTCGTCAAATATTTTCCTTTTTTCCTTTGGTCCGTTGGTAATAAACCGTTATATTAACAGTTGTAAGAATTCTTACCTTTCAAAGTCTCTTCATCAAAGTCCAGTCCTTGTTCACTGGGTGATGTGACATCACTCTCACTTCCTGCTTTGATTTCACTCTCCGCCATGATCATGAAACCACGAATGCTTGGATCAAGAAAATAAAGTTGTTTTGATTTTAGCATCACGCAGCAATTCTTTTAAATTGTGGTTTACTTTATCATCGGATTCATTAGATGTTAAATTAAAAAAGATTCACGTATCAACTGGGCTTTAGTCCCCGCTAGATAAGATTGTACGACAAATATGCCATCAATCAATGACAAATCTCCCACCACCTTCGAGCAGCTTCCCAGAAAAGCACAACCTATAAACTGGGCCCTAAAGGGTTTGGGGGGGGGGGGTGGGGGAGACTGAGAATACGTAGGACTAAATAATAAAACGTAATATAGTTAATAAAGGATTACACAGGAGTTATACGTGCGGTATTTGTGGTTTTTCACTCTCTGCTAATAAGATCGACTTGAATTTTTTTCCGGTTCCACATGTTGGTTAGTTCGATTACCAACTGCGATTAGGTGCTTCTTTGTCCATGTTTAGGGTGTGTCGTACATCGGTGCTTTGTTTTCGCTGAAATTTATTTTTAAAATGGTTAAATTTTGTTTACTTCAATAAAAAAGTGGAGAGAGAGGAACCGTTAATTCGGCAATACAAGTTTCGCTTCCACGTCATAACTTAAAAAACCATTATGCGCCTCTTACAACACGAGTTTGACGACCATTATTTCTGTGGACAAAGAAATGGGGTGTGAGAGCCATAAAAAAGGAACACGAAAGCAATCAAAAGGGAAATGTGCCCAAGGGGAGAAATAAAACCTACAAAAATATATTTTGATAGCTTTTTCCACTTTGACTATTAAATCATGAGTAGAACGGGAAATGACTTAGAATTAAAACCATTTACTGGCTCAACCACATATTTTAGCGGAATATCCCTCGCAGCCTTTTTTATCTTTGCTCACATAAAAGACAAAAAAAATATGGAAACCATAATCGGTTGTTTTTCTACTGAAATGCACAATAACAAATATGGCAAAACAACGTTCCGTTCAAGTATCTAATCTAGGCAGGAAAACAGCCATACGAGGTCGGTCATTAGTATATCTTACTTGTATTCGCAATGAAGAACGACCTCCTGGATTCCACTCGATCAGCCTAGACTGCAAGGGCCGCAAGCTGGGTAGAATTCTTCTTTTTAAAGGTATTGGTGTAGCACGCCCAAAAACTATAAACCCGAGCGGCAAGTGGGTAGGCCACAAGCCGCGAAAAACGACGACGTAAACGTAATCCCAAGAACTGTAATCTTTTTTGACACGTGCTGGCAGGGTAAACAACACTACGGATTTTAAGAGAATAGGTGGACTGTAGGCACTTAGCTACCATCAACTGCTTGATATGATGATGTGAATAAGGCATCAACCAAATAAATAACCCTTGTATAATCATGTGATGAAGAGACCGAACGTAATAGGACAATTTTATTTAATGAACCATGACGTGTTTTAGCCATCCTGACCACAAAACATTTGTTTCGATTTGCTAGTGAGGAAACCTTGGAAAACTTATGCTAAAAAGAAAACATGAAGCCACAAGATCAGTATTTTAGGAAACAGTATCTCATGACATCTTTTGAAATGACAAAAAGTGTTGTTTGGAAATTTGAACTGTTATCCACAGAGCCTAAATGAGTCCTTTGCGAGTTTATTGACGCACCAATACAATTTTTTAAAACAACTTTTAAAAAAGGAAACTAAGCGGTTACTGTACGGAGTCAATTTGAAGAGCAATAAGAGAATTTCCACACAAAAACAGCCAGAAGCATTCGGTTAACTTAGCAGAAAATTTAGAGCTGGTCTTGGGAAGTGACCATGTCATTCATATAGAAAAAAGAACAATTTGTAGCTTTATATTCAGTTCCCCGTGGGCATAAACTTATATCATTGATTATCCTTTTTTTTATCGAGAGTTTTTTCGAGCTTAAAAAATCTCAGATGAAAACTGAAATGTTAACGTTGCTTCCTTTTGATACGGTCCAAAAAAAATAAAGTTTACTGAGTGCAAAATATCTGTGTTTCACTTTTTGATGAAACCGAAGTTTATTCCTGATAGAGCAATACTAGTTCACCCAAGCATGATTATGACATCAGTGAATAGAAAGGAAATCTTTTCAGCTTTCATTTTGAAAGGCGTGTATGATTTTATTTCCAGTAACAACAATACTGCAACTGGCAACTAAGCCAATTTGCTGATTTTATTTATGATTGTGTCAATAACAATGCTCGAATCTAACTGGCCTATATTTATTGCGTTATTTTGCTATTGTAACACCAAAACTGTCCTGTTACCAGCCTAGCTTGTAATCGGTTAAGTCAAATCGGACCATTAAACAGCCAATGAAAATCAAGTAGCAAATGCAACTAACCAATGAAAATTAACACGTGGCCCATAATAACCAATCAAAATCAATTGAAAAATAATGGGTGAGCACGCTGTCCAGCTTCAGTTTGAAAAGCTTCTTTAACGTTTAGTCAAATTAGGTCTTTTGCCTTTCGAGTTTAGAAAGGAAGTTTTAGATTTATGCTTTTTTAAAAAATGTCTTCAAGGATTTATGACTTAAACAACTCAAAAGCGGTACTTTCTACGGGTCGCTTTGGAAGAGATGTGTTTTTAAATTTCTATTTTTAGGTCACATTGTAGATTTATGGAATAGCCTGTCTGTAGCCATAAAAATAACTGATCAGTTATCTTTGTTTAGTAATAAAGTTAATGAATTTTATATTGATAAGTTTAATCCAAATAATGAAAGATTTATGTTTAGGGTACAAGTTTCCATATCAGTCTATCTAATAAACACATGGATAAATTATTTCAGTGATAAATAAGGAATCCTCGTGTTCTGTATAAAGTGTCCTAATTATACAGATATCACTTTTATATATTAGGGTTTTCTTTGCTTATTTTTTAATGTATTATTTTGATTATCTGTTTACAAATGTAATTGACTTAAGTAAATAAATGAATAAAGAAAGTAAGTAAGAAAAATGGGCAATATTACAGTATGCGTATTCGAGTAAGATGTGCTAAGCGAAAAATTAGGTTTTAGGAACCGTCTACATCAGCGTGCCATCCCACTGACCACATAAAGTAGTCTGTTCCATGGATCCAGGTTCTAAGATAGTAGGGAAAGCGCATCGAGAAAAGTTGGGCGAAAACCACGGGGGAGCTGAGGAGAGACAGGGTAAGTGGAGCATGTAAGCATTGATTTTAATATCTCATTCCGGTATAGACAGCTCCTGGTATACCCAATGATTGGTAAATTTTGACAGTTTACGTCAACCACGTCAATAGGAACTCCAAGATCCCAAGAAGCGACGGGAACGAGAGCATTAAAAAAAAAACTAAAACCAAAAAACCCAATAGGTTTAATAAGCTTCGCTGTTTCACTCCAGCTAGACTGCAAAATGGTCGTTTTTTTCTCAAAATCGGTTTAGTGTACGGTACGTAAGAGCCTTACTCGCGCGAAGAGCGCGAGCCACACACCCCTAGGCCGTGGACGTGAGGCGATGGCCTCGATTTCTCGCCGCTCTCTCGGTCCTCCCTGAGAAGAAAAAGGGGAGGAGAAATCGAACCTGGTGTAGCCTGTTCCAGACGCTCAGATAGTGGGGAAGACGCGAAAGTAAAAGGCACGCGAAAAGTTTTCTCCCGTTTTATTTTCGTGTTCGCACGTTCTCAATTCAGCGGGTCCGACTATCTCGGGGCCAGGAACAGGCTAAGCCTGGCGAGAGAAAAGCAGGAGAAAAGTCTCGCTCTCCGTTTTCAGCCTCGCTCCAGACCTTTTGTTTGACTGTTCGCGCGTATATGAATACGCAAAAATACGGACTGTTTTGCAGTCCCCATTCCAGCGTTCCTAATTTTCTTTCTCATTTTAGGAAAAGATACCCACTCGGTGTATAGAGACGCGTATTGTATCGCAGACTTCAAAATGGCGGCAGCAAGTGAGGAAGATGTCGAAGGCGTTGCTCTAAAAGGCGCTACTCTCCTGGCCTGTGCCTTGAAAACTCAAGGTGTGGAATATATGTTTGGAGTTGTGGGTATTCCGGTTGTCGAGGTGGCGGGAGCTGCACAGGCAGAGGGAATCAAATACATCGGCATGAGAAAAGAGCAAGCGGTGAGCATTTCGCTGTCATCACACGCGCGACAGTTTAGTCGTTGATTGATTTTTGCAAAAATTCTCCAGGTCAGTTTATCTATAGAAGAAGTTTGGGTGAGATTTCCGTACAACTCCATACATTTAGAGTTTGCTTCCCAGTTGTATTCTAGTCAGCTTCAGGTTAACAATTTAAACTGTTTTACATAACATTTTTAAAAGCGTTGCAGTTCGCTTTTTCAAAGACCTGAGTGAAAAGTACCTTGGGTCATTGTACATTTATACCTGAAAATAGCAGAACAATTTGCTTTACTATGAAAATTAATTTGAAATAGTTAGAAACGGCGTTTCAACGGTGGTCCGCAAGCAAATTTCCTTCCTCTGCTGTGAGCTTTTATCCCCGCTTTTTATACATTTCTCAAATACGGATTCTTGTCACTGGTTGTCCGTAAATAAATTTGAATGGAAGATGAAACCCTCGTTTGAGCTGGGTAATTTAAACAGCAAGCCTCGACAGTTTTTCCGCCAATAAAATCATTTTGTCAAGAGTTGTTAACTTACAAAATTCGACACTCGCTGAGTTTGTCGATAAAAGAAGACAGGAGATCGTCAAAACCTTAATAAAAATAATTAAAATTCTTTCCGGTTTTCTTGTGGTTTGGAGAAAATTAGCCTGTTCCTTTTTTATAGGGGTTTTGTAGCTGTTAGTTTTTATGTAGTTACGCTTCCCGTTTGGAGCATAAAATAATCGGGCGCTGGAGTCATTCTTCGCTCTCACGAGTTTCATAATAATTTACTCTGTCCTTTTCCTCTACCGGTTTTGTAACCTCTAACAGTCTTCTCCAAGAGCAAGTCCTCTTCATCCTTTACTTCAAAACATGGCCAATCTGTATAGTCGAAGACGGAGATATGAAATATGCGATGAAAAGTAAGACGCGCAAAACATCGGATGTAAGAAGCGTGCTTTTCTCGTACCGCTTCAAATATTTTTCTACTTGTAATTGCTTGAAGCGCTGACCGCTGCGTGCTTTCCTCGGATCATGGCTTAAGTAACAACGCAAAAAACTAGAGCTGGAAAAACTAGTCTCGCAAAAGGCAACTCGAATTTCCTAGAAATAAGACCACTATTGCTTGGCACATGATCGCTGAACACGGGTCGCCAAATTGGCGACTTTCACTGAAATTTAGCCGCTTAAATTACTTTTTTTACACGTAATTGCTTGAAGCGCTGACTTTTGCGTGCTTTCCTCGGATCATGGCTTAAATAACAACGTAATTACACGAGTTGCGAGGTCGTCTCGGATCGTGGCTTAAAGAACGAGGTATACGGCACGTGCAGCGTGCTTTTTTCGTGTCGTGGATTAAAGAACGAGGTATGTGTAGCACGGTTGTGTCCGATAAGTCTTAAAGAACGACGTAATAAGTCAAAAAGTAGATGCGACGCTCAGATGATGTGTCATTATTTCCATAACAAAGGTTGAAAAAAATTTGTAAAATCCGCAGAAGGTTGCGCAAAAAAACGTTAAATTTGTAAATTTTGTAATTTCCGCTAAAATTGCAAAATCCGCTGCGCCGTTGTGACGATGTTTGGTCATTTGCATAACAAATATTGAAAAATTTTGTGAAATCCGCAGAAGGTTGCGCGAAAAAACGTTTAATTTGTAAATTTTGTAATTTCCGCTAAAATTGTAAAATCCGCTTCGCCGTTCGAAGGATTTGTTGTTATTTGCATAACAAAGAGTGAAAAAAATTGTAAAATCCGCAGAAGGCTTTGACGAAAAATCGTTAATTTTGTAATTTTTGTAGCTTCCACGAGAGAAATGCGAGACGCGGCGTCTCGCCTTTCTCGCGTGGGGTGATTTTCACACGCGCTTGCGTTTCGCTCGTTCCACTATCTCTGAGGAAAAACAGAGACTACTCGTAGTCTACCATGCGCTCACCTGCCCTACTCAACGCATGCGAAGGTCTGACTGGCACTTGACGTATGCACTTTAGAGCCCCGACGGCGATTTGTGACCGAACGAGAAAAAAAAAGCCAAAATTCTAACCTAAGCCTGACTGCCTGGGTAACGAATGGTCGTTCCTCGTGTACATGATACCGTTGCGAGATTTAACACCGGAATGAAATTCTCCCTTCGGTGCAGGGTTAAGTTGCAACGGTGTGACTCGCGCTGGCGTGGCGTTATTTTGGTGTTATGATTAAGACATCTAAAGCATAAACTTATAAATATATGAATGTTAAATTTCAAAGTTTCCAACTGATTATTCTATTGCTTTAAGAATAATAATTTTTCCAAATTACAAAGAGGCTCTTCTTAAGTTTCTTTTATTAAATAAGAAAGACACCTTTGTTTCCGCAATTATGCCATTGTCATTCATAGCTCACTGAATTATACTTGAGCAGGATGAAATTATTAGCCAATTCACAAGGAATTAAATGGTCTACAGCTTAAAATGAAACAATTTTCCTGCAATATTATACATTATGAATAACAAAAACAACAAGTTTGACAAATAAAAATTACCTTTACACTGACAAGAAATTGTTCATGCTGTCTACGGTATAAAATTCCAAGGTTTGACTTAGGGCCTCCTCTTATGAGCCCTTAAAACAAACAATCTAATGAAATAGCGAAACAGAACAAAACACACAGCAGTAAAAACTTTTACGTCAACTGATTTTTCAAGTTTGATTAAGTCTAGCGCGATGCAGTTGCTAAAGAACCGTCTCCTAAAAACAGCATTTCTAAGGTCACTGTCGTTAACTATTGATAATATAAGAAAAACCTAAGAATTAAAAACAACATGACACTGAGAATTTCAAAACCTAGGCTTCAAAACAAAATGATAAAATTTTAAACCACTATTAATATTTCTGTCAGTACATGTGCTTCAACTTAAAGTTTTAGCTGAACTAGATATCTTGCTAAATTTTCTGAGCGAACCATACTTTTTCCATCAATAATCGAGATTAGATTGGAAAATGAGGGAGGCAGCTTGGCCCAGTGGTTAGAGGGCTGGACTTGCATTCGGCAGGTACCGAGTTCAACCCCCTCTGACCGCTAGCTGGATTTGTTCTCAGTAGTCCCGAGTTCAAATCCTCGAGCGGCGAACTTGAAATTCGGAGGCCCCGAGTTCAAGTCCCCCTCTGACTGCTAGCTGGATTTGTTCTCAGTAGTCCCCAGTTCAAATCCTCAAGCGCCGAACTTGAAACCCGGAGGCCTCGAATTCAAGTCTCACCCTGACCGCTAGCTGGATTGTTCTCGGTAGCCCCAGCTCAAATCCTCCACCACGCTTGTTAACAGCCAACTGGTTCGCCTCCGATCAGTTAGGATTCTTAACCTTGTTATGTACTATTTGAGTTATTTGTTTCATTATCCCTGAAAGGCCCCCCTGAGGGATAATTAAGTATTTATTAAAGTATTACGTATTTATACTATGTGGTTCAAGTTACACTATGGAAATCTGAAGATTTTGGTAAGCCTTTTTATAAAATGTTCTTGGAAATGGAGAAAACCAAATCTTTCTTTCTAATTTCACCTTGCTCTTGACTTGTTTGCCGTTAATTCCGACGAATGTTATGTCGAATTCACTTTTGAAGAAGGGTTCCTGAATTTCTCCGTTCACAATCACAGGCTCACCAGGAATGCCGGGAATGTCGACTTCAATTCCATGCTTGAGTAAAAGGTCATCATTTTCTTCAATTCCTGCACTGTCTGGGAAACCATCAAGCTGCACTACCTTCAGTAAAACGGAAAAAGGAGGGGTAAACCAGGAATTATATTGTCTGTCGAGTTTGTTTTTCAGTGTTTTGTTAAACAGAGAATCTTATAACTTAAAACATGGTTCAAAAAATAAATAAATTACATACATCTCTCATGCACAAGCATCATGCAGGCGCTAGGCTTTGCAATTTTCTTTTGCCTTTACTTCAGTGTCACTCAAGAACAAACACAACAAAAACTTTTATTTAAGCACCCCCGACGGTGAAAGTTAAAGCTTGTACAGCTTATAGGGCCGTGTTTCAATGTTAATTAAAACACATTTGTCGTAATGCTCACAGAAATGTAAGTTCCATTACATTTAATATAACATATATCCCTGTGTCCAAATTATAATTATATTAGCAATGTTATCTCCCGGATGTTATGAAAAGTGTATAACATAAGATGCTAAGAATTCCACTTAAGTTCTACATTAGAGAAAAAATTTTAAGATCCTAGATAATTGGCTTGAAAGAAGCTAGAAACTGAACTAAACTTTTCAAAGTTTAGCTAAGCTTCCCGAATAACGTAAAATACACATAAAGATTAATATACTGGTATAATAAGGAAGTCAACATAAATGAAAATTGACCGGTATGTCTGGCACAGAAATGGATCTTTGTTGTTGTTGGTGTTGTTTTTTGTTTTTATGTCTGTGATTTCGTTCTTAAACGAAAATAACTTCATGAGAGGAATTTTCTCATTTTAAGGCATCTTTTTTTCACCGGTTTTGGGCAAAAACGTATAAAAGTTTTCTGTCCACACTAATCCTGAAGAAATTGGAAAATGCAAAGCTACCAGAGAAATCATACAAGATAATAGTGACGTCAGCGGCTTCGAAATGTTCCGTTTTCAAAATATTCCCCGTCCACAGTAAAACGGCTAGCCGGCCTTTTTAAATTCTTCCACTCTGGAGACCTTTTTAGAAACGTTCCTTTATCGGTGGGGAATTTATCCGGATTCATGCCGATTAGTGTGGACGGAAGGCCTAACCGGAAAAATGAAGTTGCGTTTTCAAATTTATCCGGCATAGTGTGGACGGGGCCTTAATATTGTAAAAAACTTGAAGAACAAAACATGAAATTAAAATACAAAATACTGCTAATAATAATAATTGATAATCAAATATAATTGAGAGATAGTTATGTACATGTACTGAGCAGAACAATAGCTTGACAAAGCGTTATTACCTGAAAGAAGTCAAGACTCTTGGTAGGGATGTGGAACAAAAACACATTTTCCTTGTCTCCGTACATAAAGTACGAACTGTGCTCAGGGAATTCGTGGTTGTCAAAATGCTTGTAATGTGGAACGTCCATGATTTTCATGTTTGGGCTCATTAATGGATGGTTGCTGTTATCAGAAGGAAGGCTAATGAAACAGTCGAACTCTTCCAGTTCACCGGAGTACCCTGTATTCTTGAAGAAGACATCATAAAGTCTTTGCTTTTTGCTTCGAAAGACAATAGGTTGAGGAACATTCCACTTTAACAGCATTTTCTGTGTCGTGATGTACTTCTGAGCGTCTTTGTCAGACATGAATTTTAACTTAACAATCGCGTCGTACTGTTTCGGGACTCTCTTAAAGTCTCCTACATAATAGGCGATCACTTCATTCTGTTCATTGACAACACCCGTGCTGACAAAGTTGTGGAGTGCAATAGGATCAGTAACCTAAAAGGAGAGATCGACATAAATTGATACATCGTTGATATACGGCTGCCAATCTGTAACTTAACTTGTACTTATCTCGTATCGCTTATCTCGTAGTTTCTAAAAGACGCGTGTATCTGGTGTTATAGCGTATTGTATTAACCGTCCTAAACTAAACTAATAGCCTTTTAAGTTCATTGTATTCGGCGCTCGATCACAGAGTCATTCATCAGAAATTGCTACAATAACCTCACTCGCCTGGTGATTATTGGGGGAGATGAGGAGGGCCTGGACCAATCAGAGTACGCGAAATTCTACAACCACATGAGTATTAGAGCGTTTTCACTCACGTGTTCAGCATAGAAGAAAAGATTTCAACTCCCTCGGGATAAGCTTGGAACACCAACATGGCCGCCGTTTCATCGGTTTTGGAACACAAAAATAGCCGCAGTGATGTGTAATCGCTCTATTATACTGAAACCATTTTATATGAAATATGCAACTAAAGACGATTTTGAAAATGGTAGCCTAGATAATATGGGGAGTTTGGGAACTTTAATAATCTATATATTTACTCTCCCTCAGGTATAAAAGCGTTTGAGATATCATCATGTATTAAAAACCTTATTTGTACAAAAAGATATCAGTAATTTTAAAATCATACAACAGATTCTTTCCTAACTTCGTTAAATGTTATAATCAAAACCTTCTGCTTGGTAATATATTCAAGTTTTCTGGCTTTTTTTTTTTACATTGTCACAGGATAAGTTTGCCACTTGGCGGCTAATTGAAAATAAAAACGTGTAAATCAATTGCCTTAGTGAAATAGAACTGATACAGTCATTTCAACTTTGCACAAGGCCTTGACATGGAAATCGCGATCTATAAAAACATGACGAAAACGCTAATAAATAGATTTAAGTCGTGCACCTTAACTGAATTTTAACGATCTAATATATTATCTCAAAGGCAACATATCTGTACGTTCTAAGCCGTACTTTATGTATAATGAAGCACTTGCAATTTGATTACATATGAGTTGGCCCTTACCCTTCCAACGGCGCACAAAATACTATTTCTCATGATAGAAGCCACGCGCTTCATGAACTCTGTTGATGTGGCCCAGGGATCCATGCAGGTTGTAATGATGTATTTGACTGGCGTGTCATTGTTTGAGTTAAGCTAGATCAAGGAGGGAAAAAAGGGATCTGAGTGTAAATCAGTTAGCCAAAAAAAGGCACTCAATAAATCATATGACAGTATAAATTCAACACATATTATAGCACTAAGTGACGAAATTTTACAGGCGCATATTTCTTTTCACTTTTCATTGGTGCGGTTTAAAAATAAAAAAAAACAGTTCTTCAAATATTCAAAATTTCCTGAAAGATGACCCCAAGATTTTTCTCTCTTCTAGCCAATCCAATCCTGGATAAAACCGACGACGTTAGCCTGATATTTACGTAATAGTTACGCAGTGTTTAACTGATGGCAATAAGCATGACTGGTTAGGATAGAAAAATATCAAACCACCGATATGGTAAAGTCTAATGAATTCACGTAACAATATAATGTCCCGTTAGTTTCAAAACAAAATACTTAGCCTATGTTTTGCCAAATATTTAACCCAGTTTCAACTCAGTGTCATATATTTAATGAGATTTTACCCCTAATCGTCTCTTGAAATTTGTAGCTGCAACACTGTGGACGTGGGACACTAGACTTGAAGAGGTAACAAGCATTGGAATACGAAGCGCTGAATGTTCCCCTGATGTGTGACTGAGGCTTTCGAAGATCGCTGTGTTGATTGCATTGCACACTTCAACGTTTTGGTTTCCTTTCAAGTTTACAGAGAAACACGGTATCAAGGTGTCAGGACCCACTTCTTTAAGGTAAATCATAGCCTCATCATCCTAAACGACAAACAAGTTGAAACAGTATTAGCATTCTGTGTCGGTACGGAATTAAATCACAAAAATACAGCAATACAGTTTAACAGGTTAAAAGATTTACCCGCGCTAGTTCTTCGTTGCTTTTTCCGAGAATTCGTCCCCTAATAAATTTGATATGCTCCTTCTCTGACCAGTTATTCATATTGGATAATGGTTTCGTTGTTTTAATAACAAAAATGTCGTCCTCTTTGGCTACTGCTGCCCACTGACAGTACAGGATCTTTGACGTAAACATGCACAAAGCCAGGATACGACGGTAACCGTGAAGACCAATGACCTGTGAAAACAAGAAAACGAAATAAGGAAAACTATGCCATTGTAAGGACAAGCAGTTGAGAAACAGCTTATATTCTTGTTGTGGCAAATGAAACACTGCATGAAATGTCTGCTTGGATAAATGCATGAAATAACGTGATAATAGGGATTGGGTGGGGATCTGGTGAGGTCTTGTGTTGGACGTCCCGCTCATCCGGAAAGTGACTTGCATTCAAAAACTTCTCCTTTCCATAGTGTAGTGATCGCCGCGTAGCCACCGTCTGGATTGCCAGGTACAAAGGTTATCATTGTAAGGCTATTTCTAAGGCTTCAAAAACGTGTCCACAGCCGCGCCTACAGGGAGATTCCCCGTTCTCGCGGAGACTGCTATTGTGGCGCCACCGGGTGCCCGACCGGATAACTGGGCTGGGCAGGCCTAGGCTGAGCCCTCAACCCTGGTTGTAAATCTGCCTAGAAGAAGGAAATTTCTCATTTCGAAACTCGGGCAGATGAAGCTCGGCAACCATGGCACGCAATTCCTCTAGGACAAGGCGTAAGTCTGAGGTAACACCCTCGAAGTGTCCAGGGGTGATGGACAGACTGGGAGGGCAAAGATCCTTGGTCCATGAAAGCCCTAAGGTTCCAGCATCCGTGCCCCGGCCATTGGAGTATGGCTCCGCTGCCTTGTGGAATATCTGGGAGGAGGAAAGGCTAAGGAGTAAACCCTACAGAAATCCGGAGAGGATCCCCTAAGGCGGTTCATTGTGAACATGATTACCTGCCAACAGCTCCGGAAGTCAAGCTAGTGCCAAATATTTTGCTCTGCTCTCCTTTGGACTACATCAGTGAGGCCGAGAGGTGGATCCTGACGACTGGGCATCCCAGTCTCCCCAACACGAGAGGCAGCAGTTACGGGTCATACGTCCAGGCCTACTGGCGTAGGTCCATGCGCTACAGGTTGCCTCCAACGGAGGGAGGGATCATCGCGTCCCACCGGTCAGCTACCACCCGCCTCAAGCTGGGCACCCTCCAGCCAGTAAGGTGCTGACTCGCCACAGTCTGCCTGCTTCATTACGTGCTTGAAGCTTAGGGGAAAGGCTCAATATCGACATCGCTTCACTGCAGGAGACTAGACTCCCATCAGACGGCAGCCTCAGATAACAGGACCACACTTTCTTTTAACAAGGGAAGGAGCACCCAAAGTTGCTGGGCGTTGTATTTGCAGTGAGAAATTCTCTCCTGTCCCCTACAAAGCCGCACCATCCAAAGGCACAGCCCGTATTCTCTCTCCTCGCTTCTCCACCTTCTCAGACCCAGTGATCATCCAGAGCATTTACGCTCCATCAATCTGCTCTTCAGCCGAGGTCAGGGATGAGTTTTATTAGGAACTAGAGACAACCATCAGAGAGATTCCTGCCACGTAATACCTGTTCTTACTCTGGGACCTCACCGCCCGTGTGGGAGCAGACCACGACTCTTGGCCCCGCAGCATCGGCCACTTTGGCGTCGGCAAGTTGAACGAGGACGGTCAGAGAGTATTGTAGCTGTGCTCTTCCCACAACATCTGCATAACCAACACCTTATTCTCAACCACGTTTAGCCACAGAGTATCTTGGCGGCACCCCAGATCCAGTCACTGGCACCAGCTGGATCTTGTTATCACTCGAAGACCCTTCTCAACTGCATCCTCAGTACCCGCAGTTACCACAGCGCTGACTGTGACACCGACCACTGTCTAGTTGGCAGCAAGGTGCGTCTTCAACCCAAACGAGTCAACCGCTCCACGCAGAAAGGACGCCCACGCATCACCACAGCCAGGACAGCAATCCGAGACCTGTGTGAGGGCTCCCCCGACTTCACTGAAGAGGCCCTGAGGGACTGCCACACAACAAGCCCTGAAGAAAGATGGAACCACATCCGTGTCACAATAGAGAGCGGCAGAACGCAGACTGATTTGAAGCTGGCATTGCCGAACTCGAGCCAGCAATTGCGGCGAAGAGAGCAGCACTGCTCGAGACCCTTTGATTAGACACTCTTTGCACTCAGGACGGCCGGGAACGATGTCCAACGGATCGCTCGACGCCGCGCCAACGACAACCGGCTGAATCTCTGTCAAAGCATCCAACTATCCGCTGACTGTGGGAACATCCGCACCAAGTATGATAGCATAAAGAAAGCCTTCGGTCTAAGCGCCACCAAAACTGCACCCTTGAAGTTATCTGCTGGTGGCATCATTACAGACTGGGGGAAACAGATAGAGAGATGAGGAGAACACTACCAAGAGCTCTACTCAAGGGAGAATATCGTCACTGACGCAGCAGTTGAGAGCATCATCCTCCTGCCTGTCATGGAAGATTTTGACGGTCCACCCTCAGTAGACGAACTCCGCAAAGCAATCAACGGTCTAGCCTGAGTTAAAGCACTAGGCAACGACGACATCCCACCAGAGGTCATCAAGGCTGGCAAGAACACTGCTCTCCTTCATCATCTGCACGACCGCCTGCTACAGTGCTGGGAGGAACAGTAACGTGGCACCAACATCATCACGCTCTACACGAAAAAGGAAGACCGCAGCGACTGCAACAACTATCGTGGAATATCCCTCCTCAGACTGCGAGATTGCTCTACAGAATTATCAAATTCACCGCTGTGATCTGAGTGACTTGATAAGAGGAGGTGGTGTTGCCATGTATGTGAGCTGTGCTCTTCCCTGCCGTAGGATTCACCTGCTGGATCCATCTACAACTGACCTCGAACATCTTTGCTTAGAGACCAAGCAACATCGTTTGGGGACAAAGATTTTTTTTATTATTATCTACCGCCCGCCAAACTCAAATCCTGATTTCTGTATGTCCCTGGAGAAAATGATAGACGTTTCTACGAGCACATATAACGAAGTAATTGTGGTTGAAGACTTCGGTGTTGACCTGATAACAGTTAAAGGGTCCTGCAGGCTATCCACAATATTCCAAGATGCAGGAATGGAACAGATAATATCTGCTTCCACCCCCACAAGAGTTACCCGATATTCGGCTCCGCTGCTAGATCATGTTTATGTTACGCATCCTGAACAAATCATCGAAAGCCCATATAGGTCCCAATATATGGACCAAGTGACCATTATCCGGTGTGCTTCGTACACAGGTCTCGTGGCCCTAAATCACCAAAATCGTATCATGACACCATTAAATACGGAGCTCCAAGAATTTTGGCAGGGATAGTTTTATTTACGATCTATACACTACTCCATGGACGCTGCTTGACATCTCTGAAAATGTAGATGACAAGCTGGACACGTGTACGAACTCACGACAAGAACTCAGGGGAAACTGTTCGCTGATTGGGCACAATAATACAAAGCATTTTTGTGCCAAATCAGGAGCCAGCATTCGCTTGACCGTTTGGAAATGGTCCGGTGAGAGTTGGTACCCAAGGGCTCTTCCGCCTGTGCTTGAAAACTTTCGTCGGGCCTTTTCTCCCGGCCCGACTGACTGCCCCTGGGTCTCCGAGGATGTGCTAGCCGATGGTTCACTTCAAATCAAATGGTCCCTAACGCAAAGAAGACAAAACCACTCCTCATTGCCACACGACAGAAACTGCAACATGTGAATCAGCCAACTTTGGATCTTTTCTTGACCGGCAACCATTTAGAAGAGCCGAGAATGAAAATTCCTGGGCGTCAGGATGGACAATCACCTTACCTGGCACAGCCATATCGAATACTTAATTGGGAAACTGAACTCAAGAAGTTATTTACTTAAAAGAGCCAAAGGCTACCTCAATCTCCACCGCAGAAAATTGTTATTCAATGCATTCGTGAAGCCTATCTTTGAATACTGTTGCTCGGTTTGGGGTAATGCCCCAAACGACCAGCTGTTGAGAATTCTTAGAGTTCAAAAACGCTGGGGTAGATTAATACTAGATGCCAGGCTATTAGATAATTCCGCACAAATGTTCCAGAAACTACAGTGGCTGCCGATTGACAACATAATGCGCATAAAAAATATGTCTATGATGTTCAAAATTGTGAACAAGGAATGTCCAGATTATTTCAAAAGTTATAGAACATATAAAAAATGCCCATAGCTATAACACTCGCTTATCCTTCTAATAATGCCTTGGCTGTACCGAAATGCCGGTCTAACGCGGGTCTGCGAACATTTAATGTGAGCGCGACTCGCCTTTGGAATCGTCTAGACGACAAGCTTAAAAACATGACAAATGAAAGTAGCTTTAAGAAACATTTGCTCGAGATATTCTTAAACATTAATGCAAGTCACAAACATTTTAGTATTACAAGGACATTTTAAGGTACCTTTTTTGTTGTTTTTTTTTATCTCGATTGTACTGTACTAATTGGGTAACTATTTTTAACCATTTTCAATTTTTTACCCTTTAACTTCCTTTTACGTTATCTTTTATATTTTAGAATTATTTGTAGATTGGGCCCACAATGTAAACTACAGGGCTAGCCAGTAATTGTAAAAGCCATTTAAGTTCTATTTATTTATTTATTTATTTAGTATCATTGGGAAGGCCTTTGCCCATGTAGCGGTGAGCGGGTTGCAGTCGTTATCAGAACGGGTGTTCCCTGAGACGAAGTTCGGGCTCAGAGCAGGAAGATCAACAATGGACATGATCTTTTCATTGAGGCAGCTGTAGGAAAGATGTCGCAAGCATAGCAAGCCCTTATACATCGCTTGTATTGACCTGACTAAGGCCTTTGATCTAGTCACCAGGAAAGGCCTATTCACTCTTCTGCAGAGGATTGGATGTCCCCGAAGCTCGTAAGGATGATCGCGTCTTTCCATGAAGACTAGCAAGGTGCCGTCCAGTACGACGGCTCATCCTCAGACCCCTTTCTAATCAAGAGCAGAGTGAAACAGGGCTTCGCGTGTACTCGTTCCCGAACTCTTCGACACCTTTTTCTCTCTACCGCTGTCCTACACCTTCAGCCAGTCAGGTGTGTAAATCCACACCTCTTCAACCTTGCACGCCTCCAAGCAAAGGCCAGGGTGCCTAATTTAATGATTTATTTATTCATTTATTTTATTGACATTATTTAGTCAGAGATGCCCGAATAGCCCATGAGGCCGAAGGCTGAGTGGGCTATTAACTCAGAGGCCATGAGGGCGAGAGAAATACTTGTTTTAGTAAAATCCAACTAGTTGGTCAAAAATATCGAGACAAAACAACTTTAGCAAGCAAAACGCGATTCAGCCGCCATTGTTCTGGTTTTCAAAGCCAACGCTTTTCGCTACTAGTGGGCTATAACATATAGCCTAGTAGTAGCTCAACCAATCGGAAAGCAGCATTGATAATAGACCACTAGTTGGCTTTTACTAAAATACAATAGTATATCAAAAGTGAGTGATGCCTTTTGAGGCCAGACTTAAACTTTTCAATATCATGCTCGCTGCTCGCTCCTCAGGTCCAGGGGAAGCATGTTCCAAATCGTGGCTCCGCTGAACCTGAAGGATAAGGGATAAGAGAGATGCTGTTTGTAGACGAAGCTTCCCTGACCGCACACACTGAGGATGTTATACAGCTACTCATCAGCTGCTTCGCACACGCTTGTAAAGAGTTTGGTCCCACCGTCATTCTTAAGAAGACTAACATCCTTGACCAAGACGTTAGCAGCATGCCAAGCATCTCCATTGGCGACTGCACTCTTGAGGTTGTGGAGAACTTTATTTACCTAGGCTCCACCATCTCCAGTAACCTCTCCCGGGACACCGCACTGAACCAACGGATCGTCAAAGCAGCGGTAGCACTGGCACACCTTGAAAAGAGGGTCTGGGACAACACCTTGTTGATCATTAGCACCAAGACGAAGTTGTACCAGTCCCACGTGCTCAGCACACTGCTCTACAGCAGCGAGACCTGCTAAGACCTGCCAAGCGCGTAGACTCAACATCTTCCACCTGCGCTGCCTCAAAAGGATTTCGGACATGACCTGGGAAGAACGTGTCCTAAACAATGATTTCCTGGCACAGGCGGGAGTACCTAGCATGTTCGCCTTGCTCAAATAGAGACGGCTGCGCTGGCTTGGCCACATCAGCAGTATAGAGGAAGGAAGAACTCCCAGGACATGCCCTTCGGCGAGCTTGCCACTAGAATTAGACCTGCAGAATGGCCTACCCTTTGCTTCAAAAACGTTTTTAAACGTGATCTGAAGGAAGGAAATGTCAACCCAGCGGATTGGAAAGCTGTAGCTGCAGACCGAAGTCTCTGGAGGCTTGCTATCAAGGCAGGAATTTAGACGAGTGAGAAGAGGAGAGAGGAGCAGTGGGACAAGAGGAGAGAGCGCAGACGGCAGTGGGCAGCATTAGCACCCACAAAGCTAAGCGCGGAATTCATCTGCAGCAACTGAAACAGAGCCTGCCGATCCAGAATTGGACTGTACAGCCACAGCAGGGGCTGCAACTCAACCACAGACTAAACCTAGGCGCAGACTTCATTGTCTCCTGGAACAGACGGATGGCAACAACTAAGAAAAATGGGCTGGTTTTTTAAAATAAATTAGTAAAAGAAAAACAGTCCTAAATGGTTACCCTGTTTGCCATCATCACCCCTACAGCAGCTGCCCCAGGTTTGGATCCCTCGATGCCAACGACGCCAAGACTCGTCTTTCCATGGAGGTAGGGCACCTTACTGTTGATTGACAGAAATGAGTTCATCCTTTTGTCTCTATAACAGATTGTACCACCAGGATACGGACAGAAGCCAGATTTGTGGGGATCAACAGTGATTGTATCACAATAATGGAGAGCTGATAACTGTTCATGGACGTAGGAGCTAAGGTACATTTCTGGAACAAATCCTGCTTCTTTGGCTGTTGGCGTCGGACTTCTCTCAGGCTGCGCGCGCAGCATGCTACAGAAATATCCTCCCCAAGCTGCATCCGCGTGAATGCTGAAGTTCAGACCCTAGTTGTTAAATACAAAAATGGGGTGTTAAGAAAATGTTCCTTCAGAGTACCATATCATTCGCATTGCTAGTTTGGCTAAGAGAAACAAGGTATTTAAGGGTCTATATAGAAAAACGAAGTAGAGATAATAATAAGGAGTTAAAGCAAATCACTACGGCAGGTGATAATACGTTTGTCGTGGCAGAGAAGATCTTGGGTGAGTACTTTGACGCAGCCCGCCAAGCAATAGCTTCACTGGCAAAAAATGTCTACGCTTGCGCTGGGTACATGTCTATTGTGGTAAGTTCAACAAATTAATAGTTCCTAGCGCTCGGGAAGATGAGGAAACCCTGTTGCTCTCATTTACAATTTCAAAGTGTCGATAAACAACAAATCGTGATCAGTTGTGTTTCCATCATGTCTTCATTAAATTAAACTCCAGCACTGCAATGAAGTTATTTTTCATATCCTGGGTACAGTTGCTATTTTTGCGTTATTATCCGTTTCATTTTAAAGCAAGGTGGAGGTTGGGATCTACAAAGTTAAGTTCTGTTTTACCCAAAAATTAAAATTTGGCTTCAGACCCCTGACACTTTTGTCTTCTTTGTGATATGGGAATTGCATTGAATGAGTGACAGTTGCACATGTACAGTACATGCTGTCAAAATTTAGTACCATGTTACTGGTGTTCCGTGATATATTTCATGTCGGATGCATGCTTTGAGGTCGGAATTCAGTTTCCGAAATACTGTTTGTAACGACCCGAGTTTTGAAGGTTTTAAAATGAGCGGAATTGCTATCTAATGATAAAGTAAAGTGTCTGATTTAATTAAAAGTGATTGAAAGTTTACTCCAGCCAAATTTTGGTTTCATAGAGCATATAGAACAAAACATCTCAAGATTTTAGTTAATAGTTCTTGACAATTCCTGGGTTCTTGTGAAAATCCGAAAAACTAATTTGTGTTAGGAGAATCGGCTTTCACCAATGAAATGACAGTTACTCTGCTGCAATATGGCGTAGAAAGTTGATATTGGTTCTGGTGTTCGTATTGCTCAAAATTGAGCTTGAAAGGGGCTCTCTTACCATCAAAATTTGCTTCTTTAAGCTATGGCGTGACATCAGTTTCCCACGAACCATTTCGAATATCTAATAAGACTCGAAGAAAACTTGTGATATGTGGTTTAGAAACTGCAACAATGGTAAAAATGTCTCTTTTTTTGTCTTGCAGATACAGCTGTTTTAGAGTAGATCCATTTTATGTCTTCACAAATAAAACTAAACCGTTCTTATCTTTCTGACCGTGTTCAGTCAACTCAAATTGGACCTGATATCTCCAACAAACAACCGATCACCTGTGGCGTGCCACAAGGCTCTGTTCTAGGACCTTTACCGTTTTATTATATGTCAACGATATCCACAAGTCCTCTGCAGAGGAGGATCGAATAGTATCCCATGATGCATTTTTCCAGAAGCATCACGCAATATCGCAGTCATAGCAGATTCCATCTTGAAATAAGGTCGTTTTCTCGTCGACTTTTTTCTCACTCGATTTCCAGTGAAAGTAAAAAATTACATTATTTCGTTATTTGACATGATTTCTCCGATTTGCAATGGCTTAAGAGCGAAGTTTCCACTTAGAAACATTTATTTTCACGGTTTCAATTAGTCTTCCCATCACAAAGTGTTCAGTGACCCACAACCAGGTCATGAATATTCAAGGTTTTTTGGAATATATGTTGAAATCTTACAAATGTGGACCTCACGCCAGCAAAATGAAGTCCTGAATATTGTACAGGCCAAGAAGTACCCAGAAGTACCCACACTTTGAAGACCTTTTTGTCGACCAAAGATGGCTGAAATTTCGAATCTTTTATCACATTTCAACGCCATGTGTCATAATATATGTGTAAAGCCTGATGAAGGCTACAATCTGTTGGGCGCTTTTGAGAGCGCTTTATGCCGAAGCAGTCACTTTGTATTTTCAAAGAGGTTATTTTTAAAAGGAATTTGACTATAATTATTTTAATTCGAAGAAGGAGCGGTGTATAACGGTGTGTTTCAGTGTGAAAAGAACCCAAAGAAAGGAACCACGCAGCATGCAAACCGGCACAACGTAAACTGAAGCCTGCTCAGAATTTGAAAAAGAAACATCATGCAGAAACTTTATTTATTCAAAAGAACAGATCAGTATTCTGGCCAGGAAATTTCCTTGAAGATTGCTTGAGTCAGTACCGGGTAGACTGTGCTTCAGAGAATTGTTTGCCGCATCGATAGGTTAAATTTTATTTGTAACTGACATTGTAAACTTCAGCTCCTTTGAGCGCGATGCTGTAATAAATTATCCTTTGGTAATTAGCTTCACAGCGTAGCGGATGTTTTGTTGGAACCACTTTATAGATCAGTCATGGTTTTGGTTCTCCTCTGGCCTGGGTTCTCCTAGTGAACCTAGCGAAGCTTATCAGTTGCGAGTCTTATAATTTGTGTTTACAGTGCGACCGAGCGCGGCACAAGTAGTTCTCGACAGATCAGTGAAATACATGTAAAACCCTTCTCAGTCAAAGCAACGCTGAAATTCTCCTTTAAAGCACAGTGAATATTAGCCAACTCGATAATCTCAAAAGGCAGAAGCTGCTGAACCGAAACATGTTTGGAAACCATCCACATCGAGCACTGCGATCGATGTTCACTTCGCGCGTGCTGAAGGTTACTGATCATAATGTGTCACGTACGCAGTGATAATATAACATGAATCGAGGTGCATCATGGGATACTATTCGATCGTCGTCTGAGTCCTCTGATAAATTAGCATTCTACTTGTTTGCTGATGACACAAATCTATTATGTGCTGATAAAAATCTTCGAACCCTGGAGCTTGTTGTGAACCTGGAATTCCATAAAGTTTATGAATGGGTAACAGCCTATATGCTAGCGCTAAACGTTGAAAAGTCGAACTTTATTATCTTGCATCCTCACCAAAAGAAAATTAACTATCAACTTAACCTCAAAATACTTGATAATGATCCCAAAACTCTTTTGCCTTAAGAACAAAAATTGTATGTAAAATATTTATGAATAGAAAACAAAAACTAAGACGTTCGTTAAAAAGGACAAACAAGCCATTTAAAACTCACGTGTTAGATAATGCACCAAATCACTGCTTTGGACGAAGAAGGATGTGGCGTTACGACTGCGCTCGATTGCCTGCCATTCGCAAAATTATTTGCTGTAGTAGAGCCCGCCATAGAGTTTTGCTTAAACTCCTATTGATAGTGTTGAATATGATTCATGATACGACGAAGATGGGAACGATCATGATGAGGATGATGAAGACAGTGGCCAGAATTTCAGAAATGAAGGCATATAAAGTTCGCGTTATTCTTACCTTGGTTCTAAACGTTCTGCGCAAATGAACAATTGCATTCACTGCATCCACGGCGCTTTGCTCTGTTGTTCCTGTGATAGCTACTACTGTAATGACTGGAATTTCCTTATCCAACTTTTCTTTTAGTTTGCGGTTCAAATCTAAATTAAAAGTTGGTACAAAAAATGCTAATGGTCTTCGATTCAATGACCAGCAACTAATGCTGATCTCAATAAACGGAACAAATAACATACATATGACCACTTGAATCAGTAAATAGGCCATTTCCGAATTGCCTCAAAAGCAATTCTCTGTTTTAAAGCAAGGGTAATTGCAAAGCCATTGATACGAAAATGATTAGTTATTCTCATGCAAATATAACTGTTTTTCACAAGAAAGGTTTCTCACTTGACCTCATTTTGAAAGTGAGGTTTTTTTGGAACTCGGAAATGGACTATTAATTACTCGGGCTGTTAATGTTAATTAAATACATCCTGTTGTTTTTCCTGTGCTCGTGTTTTCTTTCTTTCTTTCCTTTTTTAACATACAATGAATGACTTTACGAGAAAACCAGGCGTAAAGAAGCGTAAGGAAGACACAATAACGCATCAAGCGAGTAATCAATTCCAGCACATCGATAACGTCAATACAAAAGCTAGTGTTGTATTATTTTTTATGCCAAAACAAAGCTAGGTTACTGTCTTCCACTGCAAGGAGAGAATGTAAATCTGCAAATGGCTTTAAAAATAGATGGAAACAGCAGAAACTTGTTAGGGGCTTCATGAAGATAACACGATAAAAACTTTACCAACCAGTAGGATCCATCCGCGAGTTTTCGTCAACTGCTACAGAGACAAGGCTATTTCGACCAAGTCCGAGGATGGTGGCTGCTTTCGTTAAGGAACTATGCAATGTGCTTGGAACAAAAATGCACGGACTTTGCGTTAGCATATGTCGCCGTACAAACTCCTGCGCTCCAATGAACTCATAAAGATACTCTGACATAATTTCCGTAAATTCTTGATGTCCGAGGCTTGTTAAAACTTGTACATCAGAGGGCATTTTTAAAATAGTGTCGACATCAAGGTTAAGAAGTTCCCACTGTGACGCGCTGACTAATTCTCTTTCTTTTCCTCTCTGAGGGAAAAAAACCTAAACGGAGTAAAATGAACTTAGAAAAACACATAGACAATAGTAAACACTTAATGACTGGTTACGACACAAACACTGTATACACGTCAAACCAAGACCTGGTGGACGTAAATTCTATTTCACGAGTATGCTGCAAAGCTAATCAATCCTGAAAACCCCCTGTTGGTCAAGAAATTCGTGCTTTGGCGCAGGACCTCAAAACTTGGAAGAGCATGGAGGTCGACTGATGGCACCGTTGAAAGCCCGCATTAGCGCCTCAGCCGAGCAAAGAGAGATGTGGCATACCTTACTGTTACTCTTCTCGCGAGAACAGCGGACACTGTTTCTCGATCTAATTCAAGTTACTGTTGATGAAGTCTCTAAACTATTAAAAACGCCGAAGGTTAACAAGGCTACTGGTCCTGAGAAACTTCCCAAAGTCGTTTTTATTATTTTGGCTTGCGTAGTGGGTTGCACACCACTCAATGAAAATGTGCTAACCTCGCTCCTGTCAATAAAGAGAATGATTAAAACCAAGCGGACAACTATCGTCCTATTTCCTTGTTATCAAAGGTATCTAAGATCCAAGAGCACTGCGTTACCTCACGTCTCGTTCCATTCATCAGGGACTGTATATTCCCTCTACAACATGGTTTCCTGTCGCGAAAATATTGTACGACTCAACTCCTTCAAGTAATGCAGGATACTGGTCAAGCTCCAGATAAAGGCCTTGAAACTGACCTTATTTACTTAGAATTTAAAAAGCCTTCGACTCAATGTGTCAAGGAAAGTTGCTTTCTAAACTAGAATGCTATGGCAGGACAACTTACCTTATAACCTTTGGCACCAAAAAGTCTATCTTCCTTAAACAAAGCTTCTTGCAGTCCCAGTGGAAAGTACTTTACATTTCTCGCCACCCAAACTGCCTCAATGTTAGCGACAGAACCACCAGCTGTAAGATGTCCCATACATTTGTCCCTTTCATACCCCAGCATGACACACAAGTCGTTGCCCACTTCCATTTCATATTTACTTGTGACAGTGGAGGCCTCTGACGCGCAGTTATTTTGGTTGTACAACATTGCAGACATGTAGCCAAGGTTAGCTGGCATTGCTGTGTCCCAAAGTACGTGACCCTGAGGTAAAGAAAATACGAGTTGTTCCCATGAGGTTTTAGTGGAAGCTTTTGGAACATTTAATGCAGGCGTGCAACCATTAACCCTTTGGCGACCGTCAGTCTGTAGCGGAAAAAAAAACGCATTTTTAACCAAATCCTCCGTTTTGACCTGTTTTCCGCCAATTAGAAGGGAAATGACTAGAAATGAGTTTTGGAATCCTAAAGGCGTATTATGCCCACCATGTTGTCTTTCTCTTCTTTGGAATTGTGGCTGACTAACCTTTCAGGAAAGAGGAAAATATACTTAAAATCTATACCTTGTATCTGGAACTAAAGAATGGAACAGAATTTTTTAATTCCATCTGCAATTTGTCCATCTCAGATTTCAACTTCTCCATGGCATAGTTGAAGGAACCTGCCTCCCGAAGCTCGTCTGTGACATAAGGAGGATCACAGGGAAAGTAACTGTTAAATGAAATGAACAGTTACTGGATGAGGATGAGCAGGATATGAATGGTTATATTAAAATGAGTTGTTGTTGCTGTTTTTTTTTTTATAAAATAAACAATTATTTTTACATGAAAACTTTTGCAGTTGCCGTATTTCTGAAAAGTGCTTAGCAAAATTCTGAAATGCCGTATTTGACCAGCCTTAGCTAGTTATAAAGAATTAACCGGCAGATTTAAGCCAATCAGAAAAAGAAAAATATTTTGAACAAATTATAATTGGCACTATTTTTAGGACTGTCCTTGCTCTTTTTGACGAATACAAGGCTAGTAGACCAATTTCGATGTATCACTAAATTCATACTTAGCTGCGAGGCTTAGGGGAATAAAAAAAAGAAATGTATTATTCATCCATTAACCTCCAGGCGATTTCTTCTGTTTTAATCCGTTAGACCTCGGAGCCGAGCGTGAATTTTAATGTATCGAAATTGGTCTATTTAGGCAACATTAGATTCTGACACTGAATGCGTTTACTGATGCGTATGAAACAATTAACGGCGTTAAAAAGGTAAATTTCTTTAATATCCTGCGTTACAAAAACCTGTGTTACAAAAACCTGACAACGGTTTCGGCAAAAACTAGATAAATAAATAAAGTAACGATATAAATAAATTAAAAATAAAAATAAATAAAAATGAAGTAGGACTTGTTGTAGCCCGATTAAGTTGGGGAAAAGCATCCTGACCGCCTTAGATGTGACCCCCTACCATAATACTTTGAACTGAGTACCTGTGACGGAATCCGATATGAGAATCGACAGCTTTCGTCAGCAATTCCCGAAAAACTTCTCCATTTTCTGCTTTGGGCCCCAAAAACCAAGCACCTAGGGATGCCCATTGTTTTTGCCTGCAGACCTCGTGATCTTCTCTTGAAAATTCTTCTCTTTGCTGTGAGTACATTGGGGCTGTCGACAAGAGCGCTCGCTTTGTCTATGTGTTATAATCCTCTTCTCAAGCAGAGCTTCTTCTGCTTCTCAAAATCCTTGTAAGGGAAAATAAAATAAGACTCATCTATATAAGTGTGAGTGAGCACGAGAAACAAGACGATTTGAAAAATACCTAAACATATTGTACTTTTGGTTACACGCTGGTAATAACACCAGTCTAGCATGTGCAAAACTCTCAGTAATTATCAGCTAGAGCTTGCGTTTTTTAGTTTTTTGTTTGTTTGTTTGTTTGTTTTCTCCTTATTTTTATACAGATTTTGACACGATCACAATATGCGATAAAAGTGCATCTTTCATTTCAATACACTTTGTTTAATTATGATCTAGTGAAAACAGCATTCCGATTCAACCAAGCGTGGAAACAAACGAGCTTTGTGATTGTTTTGTCGTTTCCCTCCGGCTTCCGACTCCGACAAACTGGTATTCACTGGATCGTTAGCGACGGAGTCATAAGCGGAGTAGGAAGTAAAATGGAAACATTCTGATTCTTCAGACACCGACTCCGTCGCTTATGACGCCGCTACCACTCTGATTTTTTTATTTTCATTAGGTCATAAGTGCTCTTACGAATCAGCTTACGACTCCTATTCTGATTCCGTCGCTATTGAAAACCAGCCTTAGGGTGCGTTTCTTTACTAAAATCCGAGATCGTATCAAAAATCCGGATAATTAGAATTTTTCGTTAAGAAAAGAAACGATGTATCCAAAAAATGATTGTTTGTCAGTCATTTTCGACCTGCAATATCGACGGTATCCTGGGGTGCTTACTATTTGACAGAGAAATCCGGTTGGGGTGTCGAAAGCATAATGGTAAGCGATTTACCAGTTTACCGCAAAATTGCCATATCCGTTACGGTTTGAATCCAAAAAAAGGGGCGTATTTGTGTAGCGTTAGTGTGGAACAGAGAAGGAACCGAGAAATTGGTAAATGGTAAGCAACATTCCGTTTGGTTCGTACCAACTCGAATGAAAGGACTACCTCAAAAGGTACTCTTCCATTTTCGGTTGGAATTTGCGAAAAGTGACCCTAACATTTACCTTCCATCTAGAATTTCCAAAATTTTCTGCAAATGGTAAGCACCCCTGGAGAAAGAATAACACGGCTACTGATAATGTTGCAAATTGCTGATCTTTCTTTGTATTCTGGACGGTTAGCTCAAGGATACTGCTTTAGACGGGCCGAGTGAAGATGAATCTTGAAGTAAGATATCCACTGAAAAGGTAACTTATTGCAAGACGCGCTGGTGAAGGGGTGTCCGTAAACTGCAGAAACGGACAGCGGATGGCAGCATGGCGGACGGCGAAAGGCCGAAAATATTAAATAAATGAATAAAATAAATAAGTGTATAAGGTAAATATATAAGATAGATAGGTAGATAAATAAATAAGACAAATAAATAACAAACAGAATTCAAAATATTAAAAATGTAAATATCAGTTGTGACATCTCTGGATCATCGGAGAGAAGATAAACAGAGTAGGCAGTTATGAAGTTTGCTCGAATGTCACTTCCCACTCGTGGCTGGGAAAAAAAGATGTGTGGTTTCTGTTGTTTCAGTTTGCTAAATTCTTTTGCGGTATTTAAGGTCCGTGCCTATGTAAAAGAGGTAAGTTAATTTTTGCGGTATCTGTATTTTATTATGTTTGCTGTTTTCTGCAGCTATTCTCCACTGCTTTAGATCTCTTCTGGGTCAACTGACTCCGATAAAAAACACACATCAAAGAAAACTGACTTTTGATAAAAGGTGGAAAAGTGGGTTCGGCCTCTCGCCTAGATTCAAGCCTTTTTGAAGAGGGGTGAGAGGGGAGAGTTTGAAAACAGACGAAATGAATATAGTTAGCCTAACTTTAAGGGATTGTTTAGGTCTTAGCTTTCAAGGGATATACAATTATTTAGTTGTTGTTGTTATTATTATTATTATTATTATTATTATCATTATTATCATTATCATTATTATTATCATTATCATTATCATCATTATTATTATTATTATTATTATTATTATTATTATTATTATTATTATTATTATTATTATTATTATTATTATTATTATTATTATTATTGGAGATGAGGTCAATTTTACAACTGAAGGTCAGCGCCACTTAAGGGCCGTCATCGGATCTCACGAGTTCAAAGATCAATATTGTCGAGACAGGGTCCTTGGATGGAAAGGAGAATTCGAAGCACTTAGTATCTGAGATAGCAAGGAGCTAGGCTCATGCAGCCTACACTGTTTTCACGAAGGGTTACAAATCCAAGTTTACCTATTTCATGCGCACAATAGAGTCGTGTGAAGATTACGTTGACCCTATCCAAGAAGCGATCGACGACTTACTTCTCCCAACACTATTCGGTCAAACGGAGCCCCTCTCTAGTGATCTGCGTCAGCTCGTTACTTTGACACCCGCTCAAGGAGGGCTAGGCGTACCCGACTTACGGTTTGAAGCTCCACAGCAGTTTGCTGCTTCTACGTCAATAACAGCACCGCACGTAGATTCTATTACCACACAAAGCATGTTCATGGTGGCAGGCGAGAATTCCACGGAGGCGTTAAAAAGACAAAATCAAGCCTTGAAAACCGCGTCGGTGAAATTGAAATGGAAAGTATTGATTCCACTCTACCCTCGGATCTGCTGCGGTCAGTTAACCAATCGAGAGACAAGGGTGCGAGCTCATAGCTTACCACAGTGACTCTTGTCGATCAAGGCTTAGTGCTGAATAAACAAGAATTCAGAGACTCTCTGCGTTTAAGGTATAATATGCCCCCGTCCGACTTACCAAGCAAGTGTGTTTGTGGTGAGAAGTATACCGTCTGCCATGCTTTGTCATGCAAAAAGGCAGGGTTCGTGGCGCAGAGACACGACGGTGTTCGCAACCTACTTACCTCACTTATTGGTAAGGTTTGCACCAACGTTGAAGTCGAACCACAACTACAACCTCTCGATAATGAGAGATTCAACCTCAGAAGCGCGGTAACAAGCCCGGAGGCAAGACTGGACTTCAAGACAGGGAAGCTTTTGGTCTCGTGGAGTTACAGCATTTTCGATGTCAGAGTAACGCATGTTAACTCCAAGTGTAACCAGGGAAAAGCATCATCCACAAACTTTAAGGAGCAGGAGGAGGAGAAAAAGTGTACCAACAGAGGGTGCTGGACGTTGAAATGGGATCTTTCACTCCCCTAGTTTTTGGAACCAACGGTGGGATGGGAGCCGACTGCGACTGTTTTCTTAAACGCCTACCCGAGAAGCTCTCAGAAAAGAGTGAGAAAATTACTAATTACTTGGATTAGCACATTGCTTTCTTTTGAGATTTTAAGGTGGGTACACACATGCGCAAGAGGTTCTAGGACACCCTTTCACAAAATTCCAGAAGGGGATTTCATTGATGACTGCCGCTTAAACGCTACCCAAGCGTGTGTGATAATGGCGTGAGCTCGTAAATTAGTTTAGTTGAAATGAACCGTTTTTTTAATTGAATTTTTTTTCAAATATATATATTTTTAATGGAATGAATTTTTTCAATCGAAATTAAGAGTCTTTTTCTCAACCGAAAGGAATTGTAAATAGTGCGACGCGTTTCGTCTCTTACTGAGACTTCTTCACGGAATGAATACAACTAACCAAGAACAGCATATATAACAAGTTTTCTGCGTAAGTAGAAATCCGATAGAAGTGAATAAAAAAACGTAACTATGCCGTAAACGGATGTTATGAGAAACGCCTTAATACATATGTTATATGAGTGCGCGTTGTTATAGTCTATGGCTCCCCAAGTAAACGGAGCTATTGGCCTCCATCAGGATAAAGAATAGATCGATCGAAGTAAACCTGGAAATGTTCTTCCTTTTTGTCACCTCTTTGAAATCAGAACTATGAATGAAAGTTTTACGCACGTGCAGGGGTAATGTTGCTGTGATCAAGCTGCCAGTAACGTAGGAAAAATTCGATTTACCAGGATGGCAAATTCCTTCGCGCGACCGCGCCAAAATTGAGCACGAGCGACGAATGCCAACCCTCGATTCATAATTTTGCTGAGGACGTAAGTACACTCAAGTCTCATTTAGTGCAAAAAAAAAGGTCAAAGCTGTATTTTCGATGAACCAAATTATGTCTTCATATACAGTGAAACCTGTATTAAGCGGACACCCTCGGGGAATACTATAGTGTCCGCTTAATACACGGTGTCCGCCTAATACAGGTTTCGATAGATAACGTCATATGAGGTGTCAACTGCCATTTAAATGAACAGTGGAAAGGTTAAGAGAATACTCCCAGAGATTTTGACGATATACGTTTACATTAATTTCTTTATCAAAGTGGACCAGTTGATCATAATACCGTAAACATAGATTGCAACTCAAATTTGAAGAAATCAGATGAGTGAAACAAGCTCTATACAAACAAAAGGAAACAGAAAACAGTACTGTACTGTGAAATTAATCAAATATGTTCGTCAAGTCACGTTGTTTAATGTAAAAATAGAAAAATTTGTGGGTGGTAATGCGAGGTAATTTTCGCATTTCCGGTGTCTGGCATGTTGGGTGGTGGCATTTGATTACAAGTGTCCGTTTAATACAGGTTGGTAACAATAGAAATGACCATTTCAGGTACTTTTTAGGTGTCCGCGTCTGCTTAATAGAGGTGTCCGCTTAGGTTTCATTTAAAGCAAATAAGGTAAATAAATTTTGGGACTTCGGCTACTGTCCCCGCTTAATAGAGGGTGTCCGCTTAATACAGGTTTCACTGTATATACATAGGGTAAAAACAACTTCTTTTAAGTGGACAAGTCACATAAGCTCACACTGTGGACACTTACTCTGAATAAAGAAGGGGTCAAGAAGGAGAGAGAAAACATAGGGGGTGGTCAAGAATATGGTTCAAGGGGAGGGGAGATTGTTTTTATCAAAGAAGTAGCCACCTTTGTAAGATTTTGCTGGAGGTCTTAATCATTTC